GTTCATTAAAATGTACTGAGCCTTTTTTACTTGAATAAAGTGCAGAAGTTAAGGTGGTTGGGTGTTAACCAGTTACGAAATCTGCACTTGCCGTACGTTTTCTATCAACTATTGTTTTGTTATTATATCAACTGAAATGTTGAGCGATTCATTAAATTTTAATGAGCGCATGTAATGCAATTAAGGTATATTATAATGCAATTAATATAATAAACTGTAAATAATAAGATATTTTCATGTGTTTTCTTTCATTACATTTAATAACTGTTGATTGGTTGTGAAGCTGCTAATTGAATTTTCTAATTATTTCCATATAGTTTGTAAATGATATCATTATAAAATTATTGCTGTTAAATAGTTCCTTGCCTAAGATGCTGAACTTTCAGCAAGTGAATAAATTAAGAAACCTCCCTTAAATTTAACCGTTCAAAGTCCAAAACGCCTGAGACTGCCTTTCATTAAAAAGACCTCAACTGCCCGAAATGGCCGAGATTGAGATGTTGTTTCCTTCCATCTTCCCAAGGCAGTGTTTCTTAACATTTCTAGCTAGTCGCACCCCTTGAATCTGAAAATATATCTCCCGCACCCCACTGAATAATGTGTTTTAATTTTTTTCGTCTAGAAAAATACATTTTTTGCGAAACTTATTGTTTATTGAAAAACGTTATACATTTTATATAAATACAAAACAATATTATTTTTATTAATGACTAGTCTGTTGTTGTTTATATTACGTTTATGCTGGCGAAGCGAGGTTCCTTTTTTGAAAGACATACGCGTAAGTCATCACTTGCATTTAAGCGATTTCTCGCTTTAGTTTTTATATGCAAAAGCGATGAAAATCCCATTTCGCACAAGTAGGTGGTAGCAAAGGGTAAGAGTAATTGCAGTGCTCGTTCGCCAATCTGGATAACGTTGTAACTGTGAACACCAGAATTGCTGCAATTCTAATTGTTCGAATTCCATTTGAACATGTCCACTTGCTCGCATTTCGAATAAGTTGATCTTTTTTCAGATCACTATCATCCATCAAATTTAAGTCAAATAAGAAATGGATCCAGTATCCATCTCTGAGTTTTTGGTAATATTTCCGGTAGAAAAATATCCATTGAATGATTCGCTCAATCGTCTTAAATGTATTACAATGTCGGGTATAATTGTATTCTTTTCATTTTTCGCAATAACAGAATCAAGCAAGGGAAAGTTTGCAAAATTCCCCTTTTCTACTCGACGTATCCAAATTTCTAATTTTGCGATAAAAGAAGATAATTTTTCACTAGATATTATTATATTTATGCCAAATCCTTGCAGATTCAATTCATTTAAATGGCTAAATATGTCTGCTAAGTAGACCAGCCTCAGCATTGCATCATTACTCTCAAAATCTTTTACTGAAACAGTTTTGACTAGTCAGTAATTGAATAATTTCCTCACGCAATTCAAAAACTCTGTTAAACATTCGACCCTTAGATAACCATCGTATTTCGGTGTGATATAGGAGCACGGTATGATTAGGACCGATTTCTTCGCAAAATGCACGAAAAATGGATGATCAAGCTGTCGCCCTCGGATGTATTTTACTACATTTACTGCTGTAGTTAGGTGTTGTTTTAAACTTTCTGGCAATGCTTTCGACGCAAGCGCATGACGATGCAACATGCAATGCGTTATTATAACTTCCGATAATTCTCTTTTCATGTGTGAAAACACAAATCCTGAATTTTTGGCCTAACATTGCTGGGGCTCCATCAGTGCATATTGAGCCAATCACATTCATTGGTAATTGTTATTTAGTAAAAAAAATCTTTGATGCGATTGAAAACATCAATTCCTCTCGTATTCACCTCCAGTGGCTCACAAAATAGAAATTCTTCTATCACCTCTTTTTCCTTCACATACCTGACAAATACCAAAAGTTGGCTACAATTATCAACATCAGTTGACTCATCCAGTTGCATGCTTATTTTTAGTGGACTGATTTTTATGTCTTCAATTACTTGCATTAAAATATCTTCACCGAGATCTTGTATTCGCGATCGTATAATATCATTCGATAATGGAATCTGTTGGATTTTTTTATGTGCTTCCGAATCTAAAACTGTTTAGGCAATAATAAAGAATTTAGGCTAATAAATAATAAACTAATAAAGAAATAGCCTAATAAAGAATTTAGGCTAATAAATAATGTTTAGGGTTGTATCGTGGCTTCGTGGCTATCAAGGTTTCTCGAAGGTCACGCTTGTCTTCCCACAAGGATGTTTTCTTTTCTCCGTCACCTAGCTACCTGTTCAAGTTTGTTTGTAGCGTTTCATGCCTTTTCGTAGCCCATCGGCACCGACTTTTCCCTGTGTCTTTTGCCGATAAGTGAGCTAGGGGCTACCAATTTTTATGAGCTTCAATATTGGGGACACTATTGCATATTTCAAATATTTTATTATAAGAAATTTAATAAATGATATTTAATAATTTTTATAGTTAGGTAGAGGCTTCTCCCGCACCCCCAAAAATACATTCACGCACCGCCAGGAGAGCCCCCACCCCCCCCCCCCCCCCCCCCCCCCCCCCCCCCTCACCCCCCCCCCCCCCCCCCCCCCCCCCCCCCCCCCCCCCCCCCCCCCCCCCCCACCCCCCCCCCCACCCCCCCCCCCCACCCCCCCCCCCCCCCACCCCCCCCCCCCCCCCCCCCCCCCCCCCCCCCCCCCCCCCCCCAACCCCCCCCCCAACCCACTGTTAAGAACCACTGTCCCAAGGTATGCAGTAGCAAGTGCAGTTCCCCAAATGCATTGTATCAGTTTATTGCTGACAGCTTGCCCTATAAGGCTAATAAAAGCTTCTTTGTTAGAAAGTAGAAAGAATGTCATTTGAAATCTTTACACCTCTTTGTGCGTTAATGGAGAGGAGGAGAGAACGGGCGGGACGGGGACGGGCGTTTCAGTGTTTTAACATACAAGTTAGCAAAGGTTTCGGTTTTCTTAGGGTAAACAAAGAATTCCCTTGCAAATAGTATAAATAAGCATGCTCTATATTTGCATTTTTTCCAAATTCTGACGCTTTAAATTAATTGGCTTAGCACCTGAACTAATTGGAAACAATAAATTAATCAGAATCAATATAGCTGTTTAATTAAACAATCGGAAAGAATTCTTTTCTATGTGTTCCATTTCGCGTATTTGCTGTCGTAGTGAAATTGGAAGTACTGCAATTGAGGAAAGTATCTGTTGCAAGCCTCGTGCTGAGGCGATTGAGTGAATGCATAAATGCGTCTTGAATAATTCCTTTTTTTAATTAATTAAATAAGTGCACGAGTCTGTACATGGGGTTAATTTACAATAAAATAATATCGTAGTAATTTTTTCCTTTTCAATTTGGCTCAGCTGTCTGTGTCTGGATTTCCTGGAGGATAATTCTTGTTTGACTTAAAGTTTAGTAGAATAGTTGTAATTGTTTAGATGTTAAAGTGGAATCTGCAGTCGAAATTCTGACTGAAAACTGAGGAAAAAAGAAAATATGTAAATCATAAATTTAAAAAAAAAAATTAACTGTTAGATTTTTAAGCGTTTCAGTATTATTTAACTTTTTGAAACAGCAAATTCTTTGAGGCACTGGACTGTGATATAAAGCTTACTAGTATCTGAAAATTTGGAATTTAGTGGCAAGAGTAAGTCATATTCATAAAAGTCTTACATAAACATGGGGCAAGGATTGAGCAAATCTCTCCATTTGAGATTCTCTCCCCCCCCCAGAGGAAAAAAAGACAACTACCAGTTCATACTTAAACCATTGTTTCCTTTAAAAACTGTAATCTGAAATTTTTTTTAGTACGGTTTTATTTTTTTATCTCTTTATTTGTTTATGTAATTAATGTATTTGAATGATGTGTCTGAGCTTGGGCAAAACTTTGTCTTATCACAGTGCTCCGTTTGATAAGTACGAAGTGCAGTTTGTAAACATGTAAGATAAAAAGTAAATAAATAATAAAAAGAACTAGGAGAACATGAAAAAAATTGATTTCATGTTGGATTAAATGCATTGTGTGGTTTACGAACCTAATTTTGTGCTCGGACTTAAATATCTGGATTAAAATATTAATTAATTATTTCATTATAACATATATTTTAGTTATACTTACGAAATTTTAAGAGTGTTCAAAGTAGTCTCTTCTAGCATCAAAGCACTTATTATCTGCATTAAATATTAATTAAATATAGACACCCCTTTTGTATGATTTATAGCTTTTCCTATATTATTTGTGTAAATTACATATAATTTACGTGATAGTTAAATTACGTTTATTTTTTGGAAGTTGTTGATATGTTTTGGGAAAAATGATTAATTATTGAAAATCAATTATTAATGTGTAAATAATTAATGTGTATTAATGCGTAAATTGTTCTGATTTACTTTTAAGCGCAAAAGTGAAGCCTCGTAATACGAAAATTTACTTTGTTGATATCATGTTGTTACGTTCTTTTCCGTACATGCTTTCAAATCTTTCTGAAAACCAGGAACGCTTTTGATTCAGATATGAAAACAGAGATAACTTGTAAGATTAATGGGTAGTTATAATTTTGTTAATTAATCGCAATACTGAAGCAGAATGAAGAAAATAGTTATTCATCCAGTAGTATTTAAAGGTATCGGAAGCTGGTTTTTAGGATTGTGCGTACATCTTTTTGGTACACTACAGTTCTGTTTTTCTGCATGTTGAACGTCATTTCTTTATGTGCACGTTTCAAGTATTTTCATATATGAATTTCAAAATCCATTTTTTGATTGGGTAGATGAAGAAATGCAAATTATGGTCAAACTTTATGGGTATTTCAACCCTTATTTCGCAAGTTATTGTTGACAGCTAACTTTTAAAAGGCAGTAATGGATGTCCCCTTCACATGATGCTTTGTTTTGTTTTTCTATCTCTTGTATTTTCGTTGCTCCTCGAGTCGTGGTGTGGGCTGTTCTAATTTTGGATTGTGCCTCTTTTTCAACTTGACGCATCTTGATGATGAGGCAGTCTTAAGCGTCTTCTGAAGCAGAAATTTTCAATTCTCCGCTTCTATTGAAACTGCGCCTTGAATTTTGTTACCTTGACTTTGAACTGTGAAAGATCTAATGCCCGAATTTCGCGTACGTGCACCAATAAGATGGTACTGTTTCTTTAAAGGAAGTTTTCGGAACAGCACTGTATCTTTGTGAACTAAAAATGATGCATTATAATCTTATCTATAATGCCGATGCTTCAGCATCTCGTCGCCGTGTGTATCTCTACGATCTCGTTTATTGTAAATATTGTGATAAATATTTTCATCCATTCGCTTGAATTCGGTGTGCGTACTTCAGATTTTTCATCAGAATTGAAATTCTTTCTTTCTGTGCAAGACAGGAGTTATATTAGAAGTTTTCTAAATTAAAAACTGTGTATTAATTTTCGAACTAAAATGAAAAATATTAAAAATTCTTGAATGGAAATAGATTCAAATTATTGCTCTTTTCTTACATTGATGTTGTTTATGATATATTAGTAATGTGGACCAATTGTTTAAAGTGTGGGAGTATGCAGTATTTCAGGAGATAGTGTTAAATAATTTTTGAGGACATACAAGACATTTTTAGCTGTTGAATTTATTCGATTTTAAGAATATTGAAATCATGAGCTGTTTCTGTTTCAGTCGCCGCAAGCAAAAATCTCCAAAGATAGAACACCAACATTCTGCTAGTCCTAATGCTCAGATCATGTCAAGTAGTATTTACCATAACGGATCAGGATGCGATACGGGTAAGTCATTTTTGTTTTATATTAATTATTATTCAGTTATTTGAAAATTATTATTTAAACTATAAAAGTATACATATATGTAAACATTTCAATGAATAAAAGTATTCATATATGATATGCATATTATCAAAGCATCTGACTGTAAAATACTGTGTAGTGCTGCATATAATAAAATAATGCAAGTATATATAATAATGTAGTATATGTCAGAAAGTAAGGAAAACTATTAATATTAAAATTACTCTGTTATAATTAAACTAGTTAATAATTTGATTGCAGAGCATCTTCTTTTAAAATTAAATCTGTTTAGTGCTAATTTAGTTGTAATGCACAATTCACTTTTATTATAATCTGATTTCAGGTCACCTTTCTTTACTATATTTATATTCTAAGGCACAAATTGTTTAATTCAGAATTTTTTTTATTCAGTTGAATTGAATTATACATGGCAGTTTAATATTGAATATAAGCTATTATGGTTTCAACTATTTTCTTTGACACCCCATTCTATGATATTTAAATTCTAATCAAGTACCTTTTATACATATACTCATCTGTGTGCCTTGCTTTGTTGTATTTTAGAATTGCCATGACTTTTTTAGTTTTTTTTTAGCTATAGAAATATGTAGCTATTTAAAAATATCTTGCCTCATACTGTGCCTAACAAAGGCTGATTTCAATATGACAAAGCCCATGAAAACTATCTGCCCAAGAGTGCTTTCGTTAGGGAAACTGGCTTATATTCATATTACTCATGGGGAAAACCACAAAAACCAACTGAGCAGCTAATCTGTCTTTTTAGTATTGAATGCAGATCGAATTCCAAACATGCAATATGTATATATGTGTGAGAAACAAATGTTTACTGATACTAATCTGCACATGTGCACTTCTTCTACTGTTGCTTTTGAAATAGAACATTTTCTCATGTGTGCTTGTAATACATGTTTCTTTAACTAGTGAAAATTTCTTCTTAAAAAAATATAGCAGTTGTTCATTGTAATTATTTAAGTATGCAATTTTTTATCTACCATCAACTGAAATGGATGTAATGGTCCCCCCCCCCAAGAAAAAATTATTTTAACCAAGCGAGAGAATTTGTGAAAATAGCCATAATTTGCAGTCATGGTGTTGGAATAGAAACCATATAGCTAGCGGTACAGTGTTCATACATCCTTGTTGGCCTTGATCATGTGTTTGAGACATTGTTAACAGATATTACTGAACTTTGGGCCACCAGAAAGAGATTTGTAAAAAATTAATTTTCCAGTATGTTTATGTATGTTATTTTTACTACCTTGTAAAAAGGAAGTATTGTAATCGCGTAAAGTTTCAGGCAGCATATTTCAACGAAAATATCCATTTTGACCGCTATCGAATGCAATTTAATGATGTTTTTGCGTGATATCTGTACGTAAGGACAGAATAAAAGACTCGTTTCCTCAATAAAAAAAATTATAAAACTGCTTTAAAATTAATTCTGAAGAGAATTTTTCGTGGCGTCTGTACGAACTGTATCTCGCATAACTCAAACACGAGTACTCTCAGAATGTTGAAATTTTGTATATAGGACTGCTATAACATGTAGATGTGCACCTCGTATTTTGGTTGCAATCGGCCGCACCAAACGTATATAAATTTATTTATATATATATATATATATACACTCTGTTACCTGCTTCAGTGATCTTAGTTTCTTTACTCATATATGTTTGTAAATTGTACATTTTTTGCTTTAAAAATGATTGAATTATGTTGTTTTTATCTTCCGGTTAAGGGTTTATGCCTTTAGTAAATCTGTATGCAATATTTTTTAGAATTATCAACAATTTTAAAGTTGTTTAAGTGCCACTAAGCCTTTTTTTTTTACGGCGGCCATTGATTGTTTACATTTGAAACAGCAGACTAGTGGATTTGTTGCCAATCTAGAGAAACTTAGCTTCGCAACAACAAAGATAACGCCTTCATTTATTATTGCCAATTAAATCATGCTTTAATCCTTTCTGGAATTTTTTCAAGGAAATAAGTGTTTAAGATTTACTTCCTAATTGTTAATATAGATATTTTGAGTTTTTATGTATTTTTGCCTTCTTGCGAAGTAAGAACTGAATTAATTGAATGAGAAATACTCAATCGTCTGTGAAAAACTGTTCTTTTTTGTTTTGTTTGCTTAATTTCTTTTATACATCATTCTAGCCTTATTATAGTATTCGAATAGAACATGTGGCAGTGATTAGATAATTCTATTCTTTAAATGATATAAATTTTGTGCATTATGAGTTATAATATGAACGAAATATAATGCTGTTAAGTGAGCGCCAGAGTGTTGCTATGGTAAAAAAATACTAGAGTGAATTTTAAAGAATGCATTTATTCTATTTTGGTTTATGCGCTGTCGGCGAAGTAGATTTAATTCAATCCAATAAGTTTAAATGAAATGTAAGAAAAAATGCGTATAATTTAATATTCCGTACAAGGAAGTCATGTGGTGTACACATCAGATTTTTTTAATACCTAAATTGCTAACAGAATTATCTGAAATAAAAATAATAGATTTTTTACAATTTATTTTATTAAGTATTATATAAATTACAAAAATGCATGCCTATAATATTTGGCAACAAATTGTGCATTTTTAATCTCTAATTGCACTTACATTGATTTGTCTGACCGAAGCCACTATAGAAGATGTACCTTTTTTTTACTTAGATGCGACTTACTTCCTTTCATGTTATTGATTTCTCATTATATGTGGCCCTTTTCAACATTTCATGCATCTGCTTCTTCTTCTTTTTTTTTTTTTTCCAGGAATAGTTATTTTGTTATATTCCAGTAAAGTAGGCAGTTTATGGGGAGTATAAGTTAATTGTGCAACTGTTTGTTTTTTACAAATATCGGTATTTTTTTAAAAGGCCAGTTTTCTTGCACTTTAAATAAGTAACAAGCACTTGTGTCATTTGCTAGAATATTAATATATGTTTGCATATGTTTTTGCAATTTCATTAATGCAATTTTTTGTGGTCATTTCATTGAGATCTAAAAGTTTCTGGTATGTCACTAACAGAGATAATAGCTAGTTATTCATATACCACAAAGATCTTCTAGCCCTACCAGCAACTGAGTAGTAAAGCTGCTGAATACTGGTAGTTCAAACTGGGTTCAATTCTAGGTGAATAGACTGGCTGCAAAGATTATTTTCTTGGTTTTTTTCCTTGTGTAATGTGAATAAGAGCTGCTTTCCTCTAGAAATGCCTCCACCAAGGCATCCCTCCTCTTAGGCAGATAGCCTTTGCATGCTTTGCCATAGCCAAACAAACCATGTAAAAGGTGTTATTGATTAGCAATGATTGTCTTCATGCAAGAAAACACTAAAATCAGTCAATTGATTCCATAAGATATTTGTTTTGATTTTAATGCACAACTGAATGTTCTGCATAAATTCCTGCAGCAATATTTATTTAATTATAACATTTTATGATTCATACTATATGCCTAAAAAGTTAAACATTTTTTTTGAAATTGTTATTATAAGATACTTGAAGAAAAAATTCTGAAGAAATAAATGTGCACTTGGAAAATATTGGTGCTAAAGTGTATAAAAAAGGGGAAACATTTTGTATTTTTTTTTATCAGATACATACAGAATGTCACAAAAAAGTGCATGTCCATTTTATACACAACTTTGCAAATCAGAAGTTTATGCAAATCTTAGTTACTGCCAAAGCTAGTATAAATACTGCAGTTGTCATTTTTGACATTTGTTCCATTGCATTGACTGTGAATTGAAAACCTTTGTCAGATGCATAGAAGTTGGAATTAAAGGGTTAAAATACTTCTAAATAGTTGATGCAGTAGTTAGAATTCTGAATTTTAAGTGGCTTATTCAGTTGTTGCTTTTGTTTCACAAGCTAGTGACTCTTCATACGTTTTGTGTTGTAGATTATTTTAAGTTAGTGCACAAGCTATAGTAAAATAACTTTTATATTATTGTTATATAGTTTTTTGTAAGTTTTTAATTTTATTGCTGGCCAGTAACTCATCCTGATGCTTTTAAGCCATTAGATAAAAATCATTTTAGAAGCTACAATACGATTTTTAGTTTTTTGCTACATTTAACTTTGTAGTTTGTGATAGCCTTTATGTACTTAAACAGTGTTATGATCTTTTTTTTTAATTATCAGATACATACAGAATGTCACAAAAAGTGCATGTCCATTTTATACACAACTTGCAAATTATACACACAACTAATTAAAATTTATTAAAATTAAATTTAATTTAAAATAAAATAAAAAATTTTATACACAACTTTGCAAAATTAGAATTCTGAATTTTAACACATTCGATGCCACCAAAATTTATATATCCATCCTCAGAAGCCGAATTTAAAAAAAGTGTTTTAATGATTAAAAAACGTTCCTAATATTTTAATAGTAAAGCCAGAAAAAAAGAAAAACCTTTTATTTTCGTGTTTAGTGTAAAAAAATTTCGGACGCTCTAGAGCGTCAGTGGCACTTCACGTTCAACTTATTATCTGTTTGCCACTGACGCTCTGGCGCGTCTCATCATTTTTCTGCGAAATTATTGACACATTATATAAAGTCACAGTTTAAAAGAAATAAAACGTTTAATTGGATAAAGAGAAGTGAAATTTATGAAAAATTATAAAATGTAACAGTAAAACATAAAAATATATAAATGTAAATGTAAGATTATAAAATGTAACAAATATTGTATAATATACATAAACAACATAATAGAAAATGAAAAAAAAATTAAACTTATTACAAACAAAATGTCAGTGTAGAACAGTACTGCATAAATATATTATCACTTATGGTATATTTCACAGCATTCAAGCAATATCCTGGCTTGTTGGGACAGTCACGGCACTCATACGTAGTGTCCGTGCGTTTGCCTTGAGAGGAACAAGATGTACACCTTTTTCTTTGTATTTTGGTTTTACCAGGTGCAAGTTCTCTTTTCTGAAGAGTATGTCTGAGATTCTTGGGAGTCGGCTTTTGTTCGTCTGTTGATGGCAAAAGTGATTTTACAACGTTCAGTCGGTACTCGTAAAGTGATATTTTTTTTCCGGAATATTTATTATAAAGAGCATGTGATTATAAAGAGCAAAGAGTTCATTAGCATTACTTCAATAGTATGAAAGAACAATTTTTTATACCAGCGTAGTGATTTTCTCTCCGAGAGATAATATGACAGCATTTGATCTTGCCGATCTACACCAGACATAAACGCATTGTATTTGATGATGGCAGAGGCTCTTGCTTTTTTCATTTCGTTTATTTAAAATGTCAACCATTTCATTTTTGTATTCCATAGAAATATAAGACCCTTCACGCTTATCTTTCCATTTTCCGATCATTACTCCTGACAATACCTTTCATAGTATCGCCTTTTCGCAATTTAGTAGTTTTGAACATTCTTTGGAGTGTTTTTTTCGAGTGGTTCTCAATGTGCCTGTGCAGTGTGTCTTTTTATCTAACAGTAACTTGGCCAAGTCAAAGCTATTATAATAATTGTCCATGAAAATGGTGACCGACATTTAATTTTTCATTCAGTAAATGCAAAACAATTTTTTTGTGTATGGTTTGCCCTCCATAGTCCAATAAACCAGTATACACGGCAATCTTTTGCACTATTCCACTTGATGTGCTCAAAATATAAAGTTTTATACCGTACTTATGTCTTTTATTCTTTATGTATTGGCGAAACAATAATCTACCTCGCCAGAGAACCATAGATTCATCCAAAGAAAGTTCTCTATTAGGATAATATATCTCGCACATTCTTTCGTTAAAAAAATCGATACAGGGCGTATTTTATAATAACCTGTCTGTAGGTTGAGGTTCTCCAGGTTCACTATTTTTTGCAAAATGTAATGCACGTAAAATTAATAAAAACCGATTTCGGCTAATGCTATTTGCAATGCCTACATTATGAAATAATGGGTCCTTCTTTCAGTAGTCCTGAAGTCTATTCATTCTTACTGTCCCCATTTGCAAGAATGCTCCCAAAAAAACTAAAAATTCATCCACTTTTAAATCTTTCCAAAGCGTTATTCGTGACTTTTCTTTCGTTTTATCGCTATTTTGTATTTCTAATGCGTAACGATTTGTTTCTTCGACTATTTTTTCCAGAAATACTTCAGTGAGGAAAAGGCGAAAATATCCTATAGGAGTACTTTCAGTTGGCTGTATTAGCAAGGGACTCAGATTTTGTAAATGTATGACTTACCATGCAACTTGAATCTGTTTTCCAGTCAACCTGTCGGATTACCGGTAATTGTTGATCTTCTGTGTCAGAATCCGACATTTCTAAGTTATCCACAGCGACATCACTATCTCCTTCCGATTCGCTCGTAGAATCCCAACCGTAATCTTCATCGTCTACGCTGTCATAATCAGAAAGATCACTCTTTTCTAGTAATTCTAATATTTTGGCATCAGTCAGTTTTTTACTTACTTTCCTTTTCTTAGGCTGTGAAGGTCCTGCAATACTTGTACTGTCCGCCATTTTTAAAAATGCACAAAAAAAAAAAAAAATTAAAACACAAAATTTAAAAACCACGCACTGAAAATATAAAAATAATGCTTCACTAATGTGCCACAAAAACCTCATCGTTCAACCTCCAAATCCGAACTAAAGCAGTTTACTTATCATACTCGATTGTCGCCCCAGAGCGTCACCGGCATGGGAGGTAGCACCATGCTGACGCGCCAGCGCGTCAGTGGCAGCGAATGTGTTAAGTGGCTTATTCAGTTGTTGCTTTTGTTTCACAAGCTAGTGACTCTTCATACGTTTTGTGTTGTAGATTATTTTAAGTTAGTGCACAAGCTATAGTAAAATAAACTTTTAATTATTGTTATATAGTTTTTGTAAGTTTTTAATTTTATGCTGGCAGTAACTCATCCTGATGCTTTTAAGCCATTAGATAAAAATCATTTTAGAGCTACAATACGATTTTAGTTTTTGCTACATTTAACTTTGTAGTTGTGATAGCAGTTTATGTACTTAAACAGTGTTATGATCTTTTTTTAATTATCAGATAACATACAGAATGTCACAAAAAGTGCATGTCCATTTTATACACAACTTTGCAAATTTATACACAACTAATATAAAAATTTAATTAAAATAAAATATAAAAATTTTATACACAACTTTGCAAAATTAGAATTCTGAATTTTAAGTGGCTTATTCAGTTGTTGCTTTTGTTTCACAAGCTAGTGACTCTTCATACGTTTTGTGTTGTAGATTATTTTAAGTTAGTGCACAAGCTATAGTAAAATAAACTTTTAATTATTGTTATATAGTTTTTGTAAGTTTTTAATTTTATGCTGGCAGTAACTCATCCTGATGCTTTTAAGCCATTAGATAAAAATCATTTTAGAGCTACAATACGATTTTAGTTTTTGCTACATTTAACTTTGTAGTTGTGATAGCAGTTTATGTACTTAAACAGTGTTATGATCTTTTTTTAATTATCAGATACATACAGAATGTCACAAAAAGTGCATGTCCATTTTATACACAACTTTGCAAATCAGAAGTTTATGCAAATCTTAGTTATTGCCGGAGTTAATATGAAATACTGCAGTTGTCATTTTTGGCATTTCCTGTATTGCATTGACTGATTTATTGAAATTATATGTGAAATTGCAGTACCTTTTGTATAATGTTTTATGAAAAATCTGAAGAGACCCGAAGCTCTGTTGAAAAAATAAGATTACTGGGGCAAGTCTATTTAACATTGAGGTAAATGGCTGTTTGCTAACTAAATTGGCAAAATATCTCCAAGCTGGCCATAGTTTCGGTGACTAATTTTTGTGGCCAAACTTGGTGAACATTTGCAACATTTTGGTCCAGTCTATAACTATAGTTGGGACTCTTAATTGAACCCTATGTGTAACTGCAATCGTATCCGGCTGTTATATCTAACTTTAAGCATATATGCCTTCCAGTAATTTCAAGAAATGGAAAGTACTAGAGATTTCTCAGCGACCAGAGAAAAATTGTATAAGACTGAAGAGAGCATCAGTTTTCAGTTTTTAGTTCAGAGATGTGAGTTTCACTCTTTACATGCACTTTGTATTGCCTTTTGTTTAATGTTCTTAGTAGTTTAAAGTGGTAACTACTGACTGTGCTCTATCATACTGAGAAGAGCTGTATTAGTTCTTTTGTGGAAAATATTAGAAATGTAAAGTGTTTCTTTTGCGAAAATAAATCTTACCTAGCTATCATCGGTTCTGTATGCATTCATTCCATTATGAACCTGTGCACACACAACAGTATGTTATGTATATTTTCATTTTGTGATTTTTATTGCATTATTCAGTTCCTTTTTTGTTTTTCCAGCTCTTCAGATTTTGCTAGATTCTCTAGATCAAGTATGCGAAAAAGTTGACACACCTGTTGAAGATCATTTGTTTTTATCACAGTTGTTACAGAACAAAAATTTACAATCCCTCATTACAGTAAGTTTTTTTGAGGTGCTTTAATGCATTTTATATTTTTGAACGTAATACATTTTTCTGTAATAACTGAATATTTAATATAATAATTGTTAGAAGGAAAAGTTGCCAGAAAAGTTCTGACTTCAAACACATTTCTCTGGTCAAAGTTCACTGTTAATTATATTGCCCAATATTTAATTTTTCATATTTTGCAGCGTCTGAAACAAAAATTTTCCTAGCATCTGAATTCAGGCAATATAAAGTATATAGATGATGTCTAAGTTGCATATAATATGAAAAACCTTCAAACTGAAAATTTCTAAAAACCCAGATACCTTTAGAATTGAAGTATTAATTTTAGGGAGTGTTGTAGAGTGAAAAAAGATATAGCATTGTAAACTGAGAAGAGTATGTTAAGATGGTTTGGATATATAGAGAGGATGAACAAAAGAAGATATACAAAATGAGTATAAAAGGCAAGTGTGGAGAGGAGAGTTGGAAGAGGGTCGACCTCAACAAACATAAGTTGATCAGACTGAAGACATTCTTTGTAAAAGCCAGCGTAAGAGTGCCCTAATTAAGTGAATAACAATATACTTACCTATATAATTTAAGTTTAAAAAATGTGACTCTCAAAAGAGATTTCAATCGTTGAACTGTTGATAATTGGCTGTTTACTAATGAGTTTGCCGACACTGATCTAAGTAAATTTTTCTTTGTGTAAATTCACCAGGAATGCTGAGAGTGGTATATTTTTCACGTATGTACTTATGTTCTCAAGCAATGTTAAAAGAATATAATTTCACTCTCCAAACAGAAGGCATTTCTGACTCATTTTTAGTGTAATGTAAATATTAGAAAATCGGCTTTATCCGACACATTTGGAACTCCTTACAGCCAGACATTTAAAATGGCTGCCTATATAGCCTATTCCATCCTATAACACTGTTCTTAATTTTCCAAAAGAGAAATTTTAGCATCTACAAATGCTTTTTATAATTCAGCTGAAAATTAGGTTTTATGAGAAGATGGCTCAAAACAGGTGGAAATCAGAACTGATATTTGTCCATCTTTTCTTTCACAAATTTATTAAGCTGAATGGGCTTTAAGTCTCAAAATGGATTTTACATCATTTACTATAAACGGCAAATCACTTTTCATATTGCCACCAAATATTATTGCCCTGTATTAGTTTTTAAAGAAATAAAATAATGAAGTATGCATGTGTGTATGTATTCTCTTTGCAGTGTGAAAATAAAAAAGTCAGTGCCTAGGATCATGTAATTTTGAATAACGTAGTTCTCCACCCAAACATGTACACTTGGAAGCCCAAAGAAATATTTCATATTTGTAAAACTTTAATGAATATTTGAACAAACTCAACGGAAGTGATCAATGTCAATTCTGTATGGAATAAAACAATTTTATCTTCAGCTAGACTATCTATCAGAAACTCTAAAGATATGTTGCTTTTAAATATTTTGTGATTTTTGCCATTGAATTTAACTGTAAGTGCGATAGGTACAAAGAACCTAATATTTAACTAATAATATTAACACCAAAAACATTACTAATAAAAAAAAATTTTTTTTAAGTGAGAGAGTTTTGAAAGCCATCTTATTAAGAAGACTCTGAGGAAAGTGTGAAGAATAAAGATAATAAAGTTGATAATAAACCTAAAAAAAAAAAAAAAAAAAAAAGTGATTTAGCATGAGTAAATGCAACAGCAGACTGGTAGACTGTGAGCGAGGACGTAAAAAAAAAAACTTAACAAACACTTTTGCGCGACAGTTAAAATTTTAACCCTTTCAGATTTCGCTTTTTTTTTTTTCCCAAGTATAAGGTTTCAAAATACTACTTAAAATTTACTTTTACTTAAAAAAAATATTTCTTTAAAGAAAATAATGCGCAATAAAACTGTGATATCAGTAGCAAAAACAGGATGATGAAAACCTTCTGATGAAATTTCCCAATTTTTTACTTTTTAAATTACTACTTTAGGCATTTTTTTTTTTCTAGCAATATTTAGTTTGCATTAAGGAAGCTACCTTTTATGACCATCTGAGATTTTTTTGCGAGTTTGCATTTTTTTGTTATTAGTTAAGTGAACGTCGCATTTTCACTGAAGTCCTGTTGATTTTATTTGCCACTTCTATTATGGTTTATTGCTTGGTAAAGATCCTATTTATGACAGCTCTGTTCATGGTTTATTGACTTTAAAGAATATAAACTTAATTGCTTAAACATTCTTAATTTTGTGTAGACCCCCCAAACTAGGATGGTTTGTAAAAATAAGCATTAATAGCAGAACAGATTTTTTTTTAATTTAATTTTATTTTTTTAAAGACAGGGAGAAGCTATGGCATTTTGCCTAAATATCCAAGTTATACTCATAAATTATGAATTTATAACATTTTTCTTTATAGTAATTAATCAAAATGTATATGTTTTTTAGGTTCATAATAAAATAAACAGCCAGAATGTCCAACCATCGTATCAAGATGTGAGCAGACTTGCCAAAGATGTAGGTTAATTTTCTAGTAGTAATGTAGGTTAATTCACAGTTAATTTTCTTTACTTATTACCTTTTTACTTTTAATTATTTAACATATCCTTGTTGATAGATTAAATTTGTTAAATTCTTTTAGACTTAGATAATTATATTTTAAGTAGTATGTGATGTTCATATACATTGTCATTTTTGGGGTAATATGCTGAAAAATCTTATGATGTTAGTATATGTAATGTTTTTTAATTGTTCAGATTCAATTGAATTTTGACTGATTTTCTATATGTTTAATTTATTAAATGTATATTTGGCTTGGTCTAGCAAGATATATTTTTAAAAATAACATCTGGGTAACTACTAATGTGTAACTACTAATGTGTATGACATTTTGCTTTAAATTAATTTTGAATAAAAATAACTTCAAAGAAGGTAAGACGTTATGATAAAAATGTCCCAAGCTTTTTAGCAGGGTTTGATGAGCAGTTTGAAAGTAGTGAAAAAGTCCTGTTTGGTTACTATTTAAAGCAATATCCAGATATGCTTGTAGAGGAGAGAAATTACAAGTGTGTTAGATAGACTGCCTTTAAAAATAGCTGCAACACTTTGGTTTTTATGGATTTCCAGATAGCATGCCCTGCCATATCTACATGGTTGCACTTCAATGTTTCAATTTAATCTTTCTGAATTCAAAGTATGTTCTCTCTTCTTATAGTTATAATTTCAATTTGCTAAGTATTTTACTCTTTCAATGCTAGTTTTTATTGTATTATGCATTCCATTATAGTAAAAAATGTTAGCTTTCAAAATTTGAAAAATCATAGTTTTAATTTCTGAGAATGCAAAGTTATGTTTTTAAATAAATAAAATCTTATCTGAGTTTATTTCATTGAAATTCTGCAAAAATATATCATAAAGAAATATAAGCTTTGTTATCTATAGAGAGAGAGAGAAGAAAGTCTATGTGTTTGCTTTCTATTAACTCGGTCACTACTATATTTATCATCACCAAACTTTTTACAATTCTTTTCTGGATCCTGGAAAAGGTCGATATCCACTTTTTTCCAAAGAAAAGTAGCTAAAATCAGAGGTATTAATTAAAACTTGCAAAACTATAACTTTTGCCCTCATTTTTCTTAGTGGCAACAGTCTCGCAAGCTGAAGATGAAAATTTTGAAAGTTGTTGCCACTGCTTGCTTTCAAATCGTAGAGTTTGTTAATAAAAAATTGTAAGTTTTATAATGCAATAAAAATAGCATTGGCAAACATTAAATACATTATTCCTGATTCCAAAAATTCGAGGGAAGCCATTTCGACTATTCCCATCTTCATACGACTTTAATCAGCTGAAATATGAATTAAAAAGTCTGAAAGCGCTAATTTTCGAACTCATTTTTCCGAGTGGCAAAAGTCTTGCGCATTGGAGATAAAAATGCTTTATTTTGAAAAGTGTTGCTACTGCTCGCATTCAAATCGTAGAGTTTGTTAATAAAAAATTTGTAAGTTTTACAAAATCTATACATATAAAAAAGATTGTCTGTTTGTTTGTGTTATTGATTTCTGATAAATTACAATCAATTTTTTGGCCACATTTAATCGACTAAAATTGAATATAGGTGAAATATTGGATGGAACTTGAGCTTTTACAACCATTTGATTAGAAAGACGAAAATCATTAAAAACTGCGTGCCATTGTTGCTGATATAATGGTTTTTTTTTTGGGGGGGGGGGTCGCAATATCACATCAAACTGATAAATATTACAACTACAAATCATATTTATTGCATCATTATTAGAGAAGGATTACAGCGGTATCGTTCTCTCTGTTGTAATTTATTCTCAATCTAACTTAACTGGCATTGGATACTTACGCTAGTACTAAATAAAGAGATTCTTCATTATGCTGTTGTATTATCAACTTAAATGGATTATTGAAGATTCTTTCCATGCAAGTTATTGCAGTGCTTGCTGAAAAATGGTTGTGTGACATTACCATCTGTATTGCATGATATATTATCAAGCAGTGAAAAAAATATGTGTTTTCTAAAATGATATAGTATCAATAGATATGAATAAATTTACACTGTAGAAAAGTGATATTTCATTGTTTCAAACTTCCTCATCTCCTTAAGTCCTGCAGCTGTCTAATTTCTTATTTAACATTATACTTGTCATTTCATATTATCAGTTTTGTATTGGCTTGAGATCTGAATTGGCCTTGTCTGTAGGATTTTTTTGCCAAAGATTTATTTGAGTAGATGGAACACTTATCCCAATCCTCCATATCCCCCCAATAGAATTTAAAGGTATGTCTTATCAGTCCCATATAATTTAAAATATGCCACTATTATTGTAACACAGTGTAAGTAAAAAGCATACATTTTCATATCTACCATCTCTTGGCATTTCATTGCAGTTGCAAGTCTCTTGGTAGATAGCAGAATTTCCTGTTTTTTCAAGTTTTAGCCTGTACTACCGAAAATATTTCTCAGAAACAAATTAAATTTATGGAATTAATGGAATCTAAATTCTACTAATTTCATTACCCCTCTTAGTGAATTTCAGCATGATTTTTGTCATCAAATTTTATTTCATTTGTACTGTTTAATCTACTATAGACATTGTAGAACTTTTTCTGAAGATTCAACGTATCTTTTACCGGTTAATATTTGTACTATATTTGATTTACATTAGTATATGACTCCTATTTATGTTTTTATTCAATATTAAATAGAAACATAAAGAATTTATTCTAAAGAACTTCACTTTTCTTGAAAAGAATATAGATTTTTGTTTATGAAGTTATTGAGTTAGAAAATAGGGAAATCTTTTACTTTTATTTTTACAGCATCAGCTGATAAATGATGACAAATATGGAGTTTTCATGATAACCATCTGTGGAATTCATATAGTATAGAAGAAAAATAAAATATAATTATTAGCTCTTAAGGGCTATAAGTCTCAAAATGGCATTTTTCGTCAAATAACTTAAAGCATCAATCACTTTTTGAAATTGTTGTCACCAAACATTATTGGCCTGTATTGTATTTAAAGAAATTAAATAATAAAGAATCTGCATGAATGTATGTATTTTCTTGCATTGTGAAAATACAACACTGCTTAGAGCCATCAGAATTTTGAATAATGCATGTCAACCGCCTGAAATATGGGCACCTGAAACCCAATATTGAATTTTGAATTTGTTTTATTATCTATTTTGTATTTTGTAAAACCTTAACAAATTTCTGATTTAAGCACTCAACGATTTCAAAGAGAACAGTGGCAACACTAAACAGAATAAAACATTATCTCCAGCACTTGAGACTGTCTAGAAATCCTAAAGATATGCTGTTTTTAAATGTTTTTAGCCCAAATGCTGTCGAAATGTGTACATATGTAAATGAAAAACTTTTGGTGTAATATAAATCTTTGGGTGTTATATAAGATTTAAAAGCTTTCAGATTTTTTCTTTTTTAAAATTTTATCTTCATCACATTTAAAAGTTCTTTGTCAAATAAAAGCTTTACTTCACTGCTGCTGGATTTCCTTGGTAGAAATGTGTAAAATGAAATTAACAAAGAAAATTGGAAAGTACAAAAGGAAATTAGTCAAAGAATATAACATTTAAAACATCTTTTTAAATATTTTACGTAATCATATTATAAATAGTTTATTAACCTGAACTGCATAATAAACTGAGTGTAAGTCAGTTTGGAGTTCTTTTGAAATGATGCCACTACATAAAATGAAAATCTCCTCAAATTCAGAATTTTTCATATTTTAAGGCTGATATATATACATTGTAAAATTAACGTGATGATCAATAAAAATTAATGAGATATAGTTCTCTCGGGATGTTAGATGTGACAGGAAAATGCGGGTTGAGTTTCAAGCATGAACATTAACCTGATGCAGGAATATAGCTTATTTAATCTGTATAAACATGTTATGTTTTCTGTTCTAAAAAGTTGTATCTTTTTAACATTTTTTGTTGTCAATTACAATAAGAGTTACAATATGCTGATTTATGATGATTTAAATTATTTATGAAGAGAAATGTTTGTAGGAGTGTTATTTTATACTTACATGCATGATCGTTTATTTATTTTTGTCAAGTTGACTTAATTTCCTTCTTTTTCAAAGGTTAAAGAATTACTGAAAGTTTCTAAGTCACCAGAGTCAATTGAGTTGCAAGTATTATTAGATAAACCTCATTTAAAGGTAATATTTTTAACTTGTTCTTCTTTGTGTTGAACAATCATCTGAAATTTCAAATTTTGAGGAGTAATTTGTGTCTGTTATGAAGTAACTGCCTTTAAGAATAACAAAGTTTCTTACATATTTTATAAGTGTAATACACTTATTCATTATGTCGGGGGGGGATTATTTCCATCAGTCACATGAAATATTACAACAATTCTTAGGTATTTCTAAGAGGAGAAAATTAGTAATGATAAAAAAATAAGTTTAGTCAACAATCAACTATGTAACATAATGGAATGCATGAAATAGATCTTTTTTGTAATGTACTTTAGTTTCTTGTAGTGATAAAGTTCCTACCTTTGAAGCTAATATCACTGTAAAAATTAAATGAAAATTTAATGTTATTTAAAAGTCTAATCATTATTTTTGTACTAAATTTCAATGCAACTCAATGAAATGCATATAATAGGAATAAGAGGACATGTCATATTTCATTACGAGTAATTAATGACAATTTACCTTTTTCTATTCTTAAAATTTTATTAATGCTAAATCAAAAGGGAAAAATATCACCTTCCCAAAAGAAAGATTGTGGTAAAAATAAAGTCTTAAATATGAAAACTTAGCTCAAAAACTTCAATATTATACATAATAATGAAAATTAGAACATTATATATTAAAATGAAGTACTAAGAAGAACAATGAATGTACAGCAAAAGAATAGCCTGTCAAAATTTACTTCATATAGTTATCTCAGCTATTCTGAATTTCATTGTGTTAAATTTCTGTTAATATGTACACTAAATCAGAAATAAAAAAATATCTGATGTGTACACCATGACTTCCTTGTATGAATATTAAATATATACATTTTTTCCTGCATTTCATTTAAACTTATTGAATTGAATTAAATCTACTTCATCGATATTGCATAAACCACAATAGAATAAATGCACTCTTAAAATCCATGATATTTATTTACTATAGCAACACTCTAGTGCTAGGTTCACTTAACAGCATTAGATCTCATTCATTTTATAACTGAGAATGCACAACAATTATTTCATCTGGAGAATTTTCTAATCTTTGCCACATTTTCTCTTCAAATACTATAATAAATCTACAATGATATACAAAAAAAATTAAACAAATGAAAAAGAAACAGTTTTTTTACACACAATTCAGCACCACTTACCTAATGTGCATGCGCTACTCGTAAACATTCTCCTCTGTCTGATACAGACTAGGGACAATATTTCCTGCTAATGCGAAACACTTATTTCTTTGAATTTCATTAGAGATATATTTCTCATTCAATTAGTTTTCTCATTTCACCACAAGGCAAAAATAATAAAAACTGAAAATATCTTCATTAAAAATTGAAAGGTCCAGAAAAACAAACAATTAAAAAAATAAATAATTCATTGTGCCCAAAGTGACCTTTCTTTAGCGTTTTGCGTGCTACCTTTAACTATTACATATCATGTTCTTTGCACTTAAACCATAAAATTCTATTCAACAGCAATATCGCAAAATAATTTTCAAATGTGCATATTTTTAGAATTTCCTATACACAGTCTCCAACGCTGGAGATAAAGTTCTCCCCCCTCCCAAAGAGTGTTGTCATTGCATGCTTTGAAATCATTGGGTTTGTTAATCAAACATTCGTTAAAGTGTTACAAAATATGAATTCAATAAGAAAAAATTCCAAATTAGGACTTCCAGATGCCGATATTTGGTGAAGGATTACATTATTCAAAATTTGATTTTCCTTGGTACTGTGGTTTTATCACAATGCAAGAAACATATATACGTTTATGCAGATTCTTCATTATTTTTGATTTATTTTGATGATAGTTTGCTTACATTTCGGATTGTAAATAAATTTTATATGAACATGTAAATTAGCAGCAGAACAATCTTTGTTAAGAATTGAATCTTATCCATGTTAATCTTCTGTCTGTATCTAGTTACACTAAAGATGGAAATAATGAAAAGTTAAGGCAGATGGTTGCTTTCTTTTATTTGTATTTGAAGTAATTGTAAATTTTCCAGAATTAGATCAGTTCTCTTTTGTTTTTGCTATGAAATTTAGTAACTCCTTATGTAAAAGTATTTGGAAGGGTGAAGAAAAAAAAAAAAAAAAAAGATGAGAAATTATATCACTGTGGGCTGTAAAAATTTAATGTGAAATTACATTGCTAATTCAAATTCATCTATTTGCTCATTCTTGCATAATCCAGCTGCATTTCTTTATGTAAGATAATGTCAGAAATTTATAAAATTCTACTTCAAATACCAACTAGATATTAAAGTTTGATGAAATTTTATCATGGAACTTTTGGCTAAATTTCACTACTTTATGTCACCATATGTAATGTTATATTTTATAAGAACTATTTTTGTGCTTAAAATTCCTTTATAATTGATGCAATTAAGTGAAATTTCACAACACTATGCCACCATATGTAATGTTACATTTTATAAGAACTATTTTTGTGTATAAAATTCCTTTATAATTGACACAATTAATATGTTGACTGCCCAACACGAGATAACTCGTATTAGCGCTCTTCTTCAGGACACCCAATATGAGTTATCTTGTAGTTTCTTGACTTGCCACTTTAGCGCCGCTACAAGTAACTTACTCACTTAATGCTTGTTTTAGCTGTACCGAGGCGATAAGTCGAAGCATGTCTGTACGAATCAACTCTCGTAGTGGGCTTCTGCGAAGAACTTTGTTTAACAAAAGCCGACTAAAAGATAATTCGTAGGGCCCCTTTTTCTACAAAAAAAAAGAAAAAAAAAAGAAAATCCTGTAAACTTTTTAATAATTGTTACGAATCATAATTAGTATTTTTAATAATATAATACGATTAAATCGATTTGGCTTCTTGGACCGGAATCCGAAAAGTGCCGGGGCTGTCAATGTGTTAGGTGCATATGCGTGACATAAATTCCTAAAAGCTGAACTTGTTTATATTATTTGTTCCTCTGTAGTTTTGTAATTATTATAATTAATCATTTCAAGAGGTAACTGCTGATCATTGCCATTTTATGTTTTCAGATATCCACTTATAAGTACATAGTATGTATGCAGTCTACCACTTTTATTATATTTATCATTTCTTTTTTCCTTCATTTTATCACATGTTTGAATATGAAAGTTATTGACTATTTGTTTTATGAAGCTATTGTTATTGAATTATGAAATTACTGAAATTTAAATTGGTTAAAGGAAAAAATAAGGGGCACACCAAATTTGATGATTAACATATTAGATTGTGATATGTTCTGAACACCTAGCTTTTTCATTGTTTTGTAATGATTTTATTGTGGCAACCTTATTTTTGTTTTATAACCAGAATTAATGTAATGTAGCACTAATACAACAGTAATATATCATATGATCTATATAATGTTTAGTATGCACTGTTCTGAAGTTCTGAATTTTTTTAAGTGTAAGCAGATTGCTGTATGCATGAGGAAGAATAATTCATATAAGTTTCAATAGTTTCATAAGATGAAAAATTTGGTAGCTCTCATATTCGAACGTGTGATAAAATGATAGCAAAAAAAAGGGGGGCACTATCTAAAAAAAAAAAAACAAGTAAAAGTATTTGATCATATATTACATAAATAAATAATTAAATAAAAGTAGTAAGCCGCATATTACTTAAATAAAAGTAGTAAATTAGATATTGCATAAATACACAGTTATCTTTTAGGTTCTTATTGTGTGGCATTATCAGAATAAAGTTATTGTTTGAATATATTAAGAATAATATGGAAGTTCCTTTTTTTCTTCTGTTTCAGGCTCTTTTTCAAACTCATGACCAGGTGGCAAGAAAAGACTTCCTTCCAGCTTTACCAGATGTGCCTTTTGAAGTAGATGAAGATGATGAAAGTGTCAAAGTTGTTCAACTTATAAAAAACACTGAACCTTTGGTAAGTTAGTGCTTTTCTTTTCCTCTCCACTGTATTAATAAAATGTAAAATTATTACTATGATTACTTTATGTAATTCTGTCATAGGTAGAATCTAAAATGCATCTCTTTTAAGTGTATTTTTAGTCTAAAATAATTGAAGATTTGTAATTTTTAAAAATGTGCTTTTTTAAGTAAATAAGCTTTTCATTTATTGTTATTTTCTATATTTCTGTTTAGAATAAGCTTTTTTTGAATGTTTTTATGTTTTTGTTCAAAGTGAGCTTTTCATTTGTTGTTATTTTGTCATTCTGTACCTATTTATGATCTCATCCTGTACATTTAATGCTTTGAAGTGACTTAAAAGAGATTATTTTCTGTATGTATGTAATTTCATTTTCTTTTGTGTGTCAGTATAGATGATAGTAAAGGCGAAAAAAGTGAATTTCTCATTTTAAATATGTTTTAATAAAATAAGTATATAATTACCTGTGATCTCGTATGTATATGAGACATGGCCAAACTGTGGCTCTCTGACACCTTAACTGCAGCTACTTGCGATCCTTTGCCGTCTGAAATGCAACTTGTTTTGAATGAATGTACTTTCATTTTTTAATACAAATGGAATTTGAAATTGAAATCGTGCAATGCCACATTTCTTTATCAATCGCTAATTTTTTAATTTCTCATATTATGTATGTAAAAATTTGACAGCTTTCAAACTGTCCACTGGTAGCTTATCGTCAGAGCAACAAGTAAAATTACAAATAATTCTATTTCTCGCAATTACTGTTCTGGTTATATTACTTTTTGAACAGGCAATTGTAATCGGAATACACTAATACTACATTAATCTAAAACTCAATGCTAATACATTTATTTAATTACTCTCCCTAATATTTTTCTCTCAAATTAATTTTATTTACTTCAGACAGTATTTGGTTACATTCCTGTGTGATCCCATTGTTCACAACAGTTGTGATCTACCTGGAAGATTTGCTATTCGTATCCTTGAATGGTGTGAGTAACTGCTGAAGAAACCTGTTTCACCTTGCAATCCATATAGAGCTCTTTTAATATGTGGAAGAATTTTACAAGGATTTTATTTTTGGTGGAGTCTCAACTTTCTGTGGAACTCCTTCAAAATTAATTTCCTATCCCTAAGCAAGTCAAGCATTTTTTTGCAATTGCTTTACATATTTAGCAACCATTCACAGTAATATGCTTAATGAATATTTTTCCTACATGAAATTCTACATATCTTTCATAATAATTCCTTGGTAATCTTAAGCAGAGATCATAATTAATTTCACCAATAGTTGTGCATGCTGAAATAATTGGAGTAGTGGGAAGAATCACTGCTTTAACAACAATTTAAATTTTAGTCAAAATGTTATAATTCCCATTTCATGAAATATGGTTATTTCAGATAGAGATCTCTTACCTTAATCACCAAATCTTCATATCGATAACGCTGTGTGAAGCAAATGAGGGATCAACAGAACACAAATGTTTCTGCCAAAATCGGCATATCGATATTGGTGAAATCTCTTTAGCTTGATATTTTCTTGCATTTTTTGTTTGATGACCTTCTTTCTGTCTACCTCGCACTAGGTTAGAAACATTTTGCTGCACTAGGTTAGAGTCATCAGTAAATTTGCACTAGGTTAGAGGCATTTTGCTGCCTGGCATATCTAAAAATTTTCATCCCTTAGTACTGCCACTCTGTAGCTGCACCGGTTGCCCTGGCTCTGATGCCAGCATTACATTTCTTTTAATCTGTTCTTCCTAATTTTCAATTATCGGTCTTATATGTTTTTCATGAAAGCTTAGCAGCCAAACGAAAAGTTGTACAATGACCCACTGCTTGATCATTACAAATCTCAGGCAATAATGGGAAATTTTACTCCTGTAAACGTTTATTTTTAAAGTCTGATCTTTTATTTTTTAAAGTATTCTCTGCCTATAGACTCCCTTTCCAACTCCATTTGAGATTTACTTTCTTCATACAAGTTTGGTAACCCAATGGAAGGCTGTACTACATGACTGTTAGGCTGACAATAAATTAATTTTAAATTTCTTCTGAGTTATTTTACTTAGAAATTCAAGACCAGATGGTAAGTCATTTGATTGCCTTTATGGGTCCAACAGTTAGAATATGGAGAATCTGTACACCTATTTGGCAAGAGCTTAAGAACTAGACTATTGTGCAAATGTCTGCCATGTTACAAAAAGCCTCCACATCAAACATTTGTGCATGTCTGAAGAGTTACACATTCACGTTATATTTGCATTTGCGAAATAAATTCATTATATTAGTGACAGATTAGAAACTACAGATTTATTAGCAATAGGTTATGTATGTACACAATTATCATAAAGATTCAAGAGGTGGTTTCAAAAATTTTCAGTGATGTGCATGAACTTTCTCTTGTGGAGCCATTAGGATTTTTTATGTGGGAGACATAAAAAATTAGCAATGCCCTCGCCGAGACTTGAGCATGGACCTCTTGAATATACGTAATGTGTGGTACTGTTACACTCCAAAGGAGGGAGAAAACATCTTACACACCCCTTTTAAAGGGCAACTATCCCCAGTCGCCAAATTCTGGTGAAGAAGAATCATCATTCACCGCATTTTTAGATTGGGTACCAATATAGATAAATTAGGTGATTTTAAGCAGAAGACATAAAAAATGAGCAATGCCCTCACCTGTACTCAAACCTGGACCTCTCGAATATGCGCTGAATGTCCTACAGTAACACCACCAAGGCATGGCAGAAGAGAGGGAGAAAATACCTTTTAATCTATGTCCAACATTTATCAGAACAATTCGAGAGTTCGTTTCGAGAATTTTCAATGATGCGCATTAATTTTGTTATCTGTGTCCAAAATTATCGGAATTATTCAAGATGCCACACTGAAATACTTTATCAGTCAGGGTCATCAGGAGAGAGACTGATTATTCAAATACCACTGAAAATGCAATTGTATTCTTTTTTTGGTGAATTCTACTTTACTGGGCCTCATAAAAGTAGTTATTCCAAAGTTTTGCGAGATAAATATTTGTCGGTTTTTTAGGCTAGACTTCAAAGATTCAAATGATCTCAGTATGTTGATCCTTACGTTAATTGTGTGGAGAAACAAAATTACTTTGTAAGCAAACAAGTTAATAGCTTATTTTTAAATAAATATTCTTTCTTGAATTCGCAGGTTTTTCTGCAGTGCAGGTTGACGTGTATCATTGAATTTTATCATTTCTAAAAGGCTGCTTATGAGTTAAAAAAAAACACTCAATTTATTTTTAAATAATGACTTGCAATTTACTCTAAGTTGCCCAGTATATAAGAGTTACAAATTTTTATTTTTTTTTGGGATTTTTCTGAATACAAAACAGTCAGTATAGGATGTATTTTTTTGTATTTATATGTCATGTTAATTACATATTCATTAATTTAAAAAATTCTTTATGTTCAAAACCTGTTTCATTATTTTTTAAATGATATAAATTTGGACGTGTAACTCTTGAACATTCATAAAATCTATCATGCCTCTCCCATAGTCTTGAAGTTTGGCCATCCCTGATATGTATCATATACAGGATATTTAGAAAAGATTGTATGACTGACATCTTTTCTTGAATTGTTAGTCCACACAGCCCTGATTTCAGGGTCTTGCGAGAGATTTTTGATTAAAAACATTGTAAATTAAAATTTGTTTATCAGCCTTATAATAATAATAAGTTATTTTTCATCCTGCTAAAGATTGCTTAGGACAGATTGATCCAAAAAGTCCTGTTGATTGTGAAAAAATTGTCAAAATTATATAATTTAACCTGTTTCATTTGAAGGGAAAAGTTAGAGATGTGTCAGTTTAGGCATAGTGTCATTAATAAAACAGCATTGATAAAATATGTCAGTTTCATTGCTGTTAAAAATATCTTTTAAATTGTGCATTTCCATGATGCATTTTACTTTTTATTTTTCCATATTACACAGCTATCTTTATTAACATTATCAGTTTCACCACGTATGGTCTTGCAACTACTCATGTTGCTTTTTGAATTTCTCCAGCCACTCATTGCTCACATGAATTCACTTTATCCCAAGGCTTTGGCAAATTGTGTAACATTTCCTAGTATCAAAAGCCCTGATACCAATAAGTGTTTACCTCTCACTATGTGCAGATATTTTAATATTGCTTCATCAATCTTCATGAACACACGTTTTATTACATTTTGCACGTGGAGTTGAAGCTTGACAAAAAAATTTTTCTGAATTTTCAAGACTGCCGAAAAAATATTTTGCAAAATGCCAAATTTCATGGCAATATCTTTCTTTTTTACACTCATATCCACTTCATCAAGAATCAGTATTTATTCTTTTAGTATTAGGCACTTTCATTTCAACATTTTTATCATTCAATATACAACTAGCTTCGAAAAAAATTTGCTATATAAAACCATGAAAAGCAGAAATAAAAATAAAGTGCAGTTGTTTCTTAAACTGGTTTGTGAAACAGGATTTGTTGGGTAATTTTTAACAATAGGAAAGTTAAATGCTTTTTCATCTGAGAATCTCCCTTCCTCTACTTCATACTTCATGTAGAATGGATTGTGAAACAGATAATGAGCCATCTGCGACCACCACAGATAATGAGCCATAGGTGCCTGCATGTAGGTATCATGGCAAATGAATAAAAATTTAAAGTATAAAGAAAAGTTTTAAAAAAATCATCCATTCGAAAACTTTGTTAAATAGAGAGTGCACTTCATTATTTGAAGTTTTTTTTATACAGAGAAATTCACACCTTTGGCAGAATCCTGCAAAAAGACTGTGCTAAATGGAAGGAATATATCTCTTTCGCATCAAAATCACCCGTAACAGCTATTCATTCAGGCAACGGCAAACCGCCCCAACGCCTCGTTTGTTTTCTATTTAGTGCTTTCCCACTCCACATTAGTGTATGGCTCATCGGTTTCGCTCGCGAGTTGTTAAGAGACATCTCAATCATTCTTTTGAAGCAACTAAAGGAGAAATACAGAAAGCTATTGATGTTCACAGGTGCAAGGTGAAACTGGACTCAATAAATGAAATCGCAGAAAAACCCCCAAGAAAGAAGCAGTCATTTCACTTAAGTAGGTTATTGTTAATGCTGTAGCTATCTACTAAGCAGGGGGAAAGGAAAACTATTCCAAGACTAATTTGTAAACACGGGCGTTTTTGATGTTTGATGAAAACAGATCTGATCATCTCTCGATGAGAAAGAGATATAGAATAAAATGTTCATTAAATAGACATTTTGGCTGTAGTATAATTGATATACCCTTCTCACAATTTTTAACTAGTGGTACCTCAGATAATTTTGACCATGTAAAGATAATTTTATTTATTTATTAATTTATTTAAACTTTCTGATTATATGCCCAGTTCTGAAAAGCATTCATTTAGCAACGCACTGTGTTTTCTGAAACAGGCAATCCTTAAGAAAATCATGAAAATACATGTGACAGCTCACGTATGCACACATGGAATTTAGGTTTCTAAGTTTGACAGTCATTTTTCTGGTTAGTACTTGTTTTAATTAGTGTTTGATTAGTTTGGGAATTTTTTTCTCATGTAAGGAACCATAATGAGATTGTGGAGTTTTCTGGTTTAAGAAGAAAGCATCGCATTTCTTCAGAAATATAATATTTTATCGAGTTGCAGAGAATACCAAAATTTACATTCCATGAAGCTGTGCTTCATAAATGATTGAATTTGTTCTCCAATGCTAGAATTTGTGAAATTCTCTGAGTTTTTTTTAAGTGAACATAGATTGCTGTGTGCATGGGGAAATGATATTAAGGGTAGGGCAAAATTGTGCACAATGCCAAATTTGTCTAATTCTCTGATGTTTTTTTAAGCTAAATGAGATCATTCTGTAAATGCGTAGAAGAGCAGTAATTGAACATAAATGAAATACTGATTATAATCACCCTTATCTTCAGAACCTTCCCAACTTTTCATTAATAGAGTAATTTTTGAATTTATACTCAAATTATTTTATATCATTAGTTGTTGGTTCATCAGTTCAGTTATGTTTATGCAGAAAGGTGTTTAAAATGTCTCCAGACCACGTAAAATTGAAAATAATCTACACATTCTGTTTTCTGATATTTTATATCAATTGACTAGTCTATATGTGGAAGTTATTTTTCAGTTAAAAATTTAATATCCATTTCAGTAAATGGATTTCCCTATTGCAACATGGGCACAAAGCCCTGCCGTATTTTTCAGTGTGATGGCCTCCTCATGAAGGTCATGGCTGAATCAACTTGTTTTATAATCCATTGTTTATTGTAATATTGTCATTCATTGTCTGAATTCTATTCATTTATTTTACTGTCATCTCATATGCTTACTCATAACTCATCCCTCCATGCACATAGGTCTTGATTTCATGTTCATGGTATTAAATTTGCAATTCCTAAGTTTTCTTTACATATTTTATTCACATTATGCTTACTTCTGTTTCAAGAATATATCGTATTCTTAATTCAAAGCCATATGATGATATATCATATATTTTTAGGTTATATGCCATAAAAATTAATCAAATAGCATAATGTATTGAATTATATACATTTATTAAATAATTATCTCGTGAATTTAAATGTATTTTCAGTAAAATTGCAGTAAATTAGAAAATTATTTTATTATGTTATAGGGTGCCACTATCAAAATCGATGAAGCTTCGGATGCTGTTGTTGTGTCTCGCATTGTTCGTGGAAGTGTAGCTGATCGCAGTGGTATGGAAATCTTGTTAAATATTTATGCATTACTGCACAGTAATGTGAAAAATACTTTAAAAATATGAACAAAAAAGCATGAATACCTCTTCCATATACTTTCAGGCCTTATAAATGTAGGGGATGAGCTCCGAGAAGTAAATGGCATTCGTGTTAAAGGAAAAAGCCCTCTAGACATTCTTGCAATTTTGGTAAGATATTTTTCTTCTGTAAGATTTTAAGAATATCATTTTCTAAAGTAGCTACTAAATATGATTATTTATGTCAAAGTACTAATCTGCAGGCATTCTTACATGCAAATGTATATTAAAAAGCTGTTATGTAAATAATTGAATTTTACACTTTTAGTTCTTTAATAAAAAGATTGAGCAATTTTAGTTTGTTATAATCACCACCTACCTTTTCTATTTCTTATAATTACCAGGAATTTTAAAATGGAGCATTGGAAATTGATTTAAAAAATGTTTTTGCTCTTGTGGAGTGTAGGTTTATTTATAGAAATTTTGTGTTTGGTTAGAGAAAATTAATTATCATGTTTGTTTTTCAGAATAAAATATTTTGTTACAATTTTCTTGTGATTTTAAAATTTTATGTTTTAAAAACAAGAAGTCGGTGAATGCTTCAAAATAATATTTCTTGAATCATTGAATTTTCTGCTATCCAGCAGTATAAGTTAATGGTATATTGAGATGAAAACTCTGTGTTTATTTATGATTATCTGCACTTCTTTAAAAAGTATTCACAATTCAATGCACTATATCACCTGAATGAGCAGCCCATGATGTTGCCGTAATATGTTTATGCACATGAGCTTGGATTTCTATCTTGAAATTCAACTGGCATTTTTAGGATTAACATTGTTTTTGCATTGATCACATTTTTTTTCTTTGTAAAGAATCATTTGCCACCTGATGATAAGAGATGGTGTTTTGTCCAGCAATAGAGAATGCAAAAATTCATGTTCCATGAGGTTATACATATTAAATGATAAAATTTTCAAGCAAAATATGAGTGTTGGAAGGAACAACATGGGGGAGGAGAAAGAAAAGAAAAATACAAATTTTTGAAAGAAAGTGATTTATTATGGATGTTTCTTGCTTTTTTATTGATTTTTAAATTTTGTTATGTAATTCTTAGTGCCCCACCACTTTCAAAGCAGCTTTTGCCTTTTGCATATTAGCTTGGAAAAAAATTATTCATCAACAAGGTGGCAGTTTTTCAGAGCAAGATGTAAATAATCAGAAAATATCCATTTGAAATTTATTTAATTGCATTAGTACAGCATGCTTTTACATTTTATATTTCATATTATTAAATTATAAAGGTTCCATGTTAATAGTATAAAAAGCATTGAAAAATTCAAATCCTTTTATTGTTGAAATGTGCTTTTTATCTGTTTATATTGTTTTATATATTTGAAAATTAATGATATTCATTAAAATTAATTTCTTTGTTTCATATTTCCATGTTTGTGGACAAATAGGAGGTAAGAATTTCCCTATATATATGTATATATTATGTTATCTTTTGTATTCTGTTGTACATTACACATGTGCTATTTGTGTTCTGAGGTTCTAACCCCTTCACTACCTGTGTGTGTATCTGAGAAATTCGTCTTGCATTTCAAGCATAATTTTTTAACCCTCTGACTGCTCAATTTGTGGACCGAAATTTCTTCAAAAACTGTGGAATTTTTTTCATATTTTAAATCTATATATATTGGAGAATTGAAAAATGCATTTTTCCTTTCTAGAAAATATTTTTTTGGATAGATTTTTATCATGAGAAAAACCAATTTCAGATGTTATCACAAAAAAAAAAAAAATTTTTTTAATAAATTTCAGTCGAATTACAGTTAATTTCTATTTATTGCATAAAAAGTAAAATATATAAAATTAAAAAATATAAAGCACTGAGGAAAAATATCTTGGAATGCACTTTAGTATGATAGAGTTCAAAACAGGATTTAAGGCAAAGTCCAACTTCACAGTCTTTGCACCAGATTCAGTAAGTTTAATTAATAATCCATCTAATTATTATTCTAATTAAAAATTCAATAATTTAATTAAATAATCAAGATAATCACTGAATGTTTTCTAGCAGCCATTTCTGTAAGAAAAAAGCGGCAAAAAGTGGAGTTTGAGCAGTCTTCAAACGCCGCAATTTAGTGGACAATTAACGATATCTATTGGCCAAAGCGTAAGCTAAATGTCTGATACTGTATATAATTTATTTCAGTGGTTGAACAGGGAAAAAACGGGATGCGCTCCTCAATTAAGGAAGAAAAACACATGCCCGCGGAAATTGCGGGATGAGCAGGTTTTGCTACATTTGAGTTGCCTGTGGAAATCGTGGGATGAGCAGCCAGAGGGTTAATACTGTGTGTGAGACTGAAACTTTTTTTTAGTTTTATATTTATGTTAAATGTTATAAATTTTATTAGTTGTTCAAAGTCTGCTTCCTAAACTATTTTTATGTATTTTTGGCATATTTATAATTCATTCAACCATGTTGCTTTCAAGTGTTTTCGTGCGGGGCTGGAATGTTATTCCTAACAAATTTTTAGTTCTTGAAGCAATTCAGAAACTAAATATGGTTTCAGAAAGTAAAAAATGAAGTTTTTCTGACCAGACTTTATTTTGAACTTTCCATGAGTTCATAAGCCTTGTAAAACTTTATTGTTTCAGTGTGGATGATTACACCTGATTATAATATTTAATAATAATAATAATAATGTGTGCTATTATAATTTTTTTCTTTTCTGACTTCAGATTCATATTTTTGATAATTTTTGTCTTTCTTTACTGTACATAAACAAGTTGTTCTGTTCTAGCAATGTAGGTTTAATATATGTCTCCAATTTAATTCATTTATTAGTCATATTTATGTTTACGACGCCAAATCCCTGAGTTTGCCACCCTTTTCTGTCTCGCCAACAAAAATACAAATCTTAAAACAACATATTGGAAAATAAATTAAAACATTGTGTTTATTTTTTAATTTTAATTCCAACATTTTGAAATGTTATTTTTCTTGTTGTAGTCTTGGCAAAATTTTCAATGATTATCAAAGAATATTATTGAAAAAAATTCTTTGTTCTATTCCTGTACTTCAGACTGAGTTTTAAGTATTGTTTCTTAGAATAAACTGCAAAAATTTAAAAAATAAATCGTTTGATATCTTTGCTTTATCTTCGTAGCAGTAACAGAAATATAACTCTGAAACCTTTCTATGTAGTGAGGAACTCCTGCCCGAGTACCAAGAAAGCATAAGAAAGTGACACACCAGAATCTGTTTTTCTTTTTCATCAAGTATAATATTTTATAGCAATTTTTCAGTAATTTTTTTGCAACATTCAGTTATATTTTCCACTGCCTTTCACCGAGTTCTGCATGCTTGTCATGTTGACCAATGATCAAAATCAGACATGAAGCATCAGCAACTGTGAGCAAACATCTCATACTTTCGAAAAAGATGATAGAATTCAGAACAATAGAAGTTGTTATGTACACCTGCCAGTTTGAAGGAGCAGAACCTACTCTTCCGTTTATTTTTGTAATTGACTCAATATTACAGTTGTATGCTTATCCTCTGCAGTTTAAACATCAACTCTGTTGTTTATTAATTTCTGTAAAATGATAACTTAAATGTTTTTGGTAGCTTTACTTTTGTTTCACAACCTTCACTGTACTTTTAAAGATCACTACATAATGTGAAACTTAACATGGTAATTTGTATGAGAAATACCAGTTATGCTTTTATTATCAAAGAAAAGTAGTTTGCTTCTTTTAGTTGTTCAATAAAATTTTTTCTAATATTTTTTCAATTTCTCCTCTTAATATATATATTATATATATATATATAATTATAATTTTCCTAAACAGTATTGATTAATTGATTATATTATCTCTTAAGTTTAATTAAAGTAGAATTATTTTAAAAGTGTGAATCCATACTGGTAAGTTATATTTTGAAAGATGTTTTGAAGTAATTTGAAAGCAAAATGTTAATAATGTTTTAACGGGGACTGGAATTAAATCATCCTGAAGAATAAAATTTCAATTGTAAAAGGAAAAATTAAAAACATGTAATCATTGTCGTTGATCGGAAATAAGTTGACTTTTCAAGGGGAACAAACCAACTCCCATTTAATGAACAATAATTGATAAAAATACGTAAATATGAAAGTGTTTCGTCTTTACTCGAGTTATAAGTTAAAGCCAAACCGGCAATTCTAGTCAGGCCAAATATATCCGCGAATAGAAGGAATTATGAACCAATGCTGATACTCAAAGAACTTATTCTTATGAAGCATTTTAGTCAATTCAATTTGGAGTAAAAATCAATTACTGTAGAGAAATCCTAATTAACCCGAGTAACCGTCCCCGACACTTTCATGTTTATGCATTTGAGTACTATATTATTTGTAAAAATTAAACATTGGAAATTGTCATTATGAAATCGAATTCAAAGTAAAGTTAAAATAAACATAGAAGATTACAAAATAAGATAAATAATGCAAACTTTGTAAAAACAAATCAAAGACAATATAAACAAAATATGACGTCTGCAATAAAAAATAATTGGTGACCTCAAAATTAACATATTCTAGCTTTTATATGTTCTCCCCCTAAATTCATCTGTGCTCCCAAATTCGAGATATTTCCATGTTACATAACAACCTTAAATTAACCATTCATAGCTTAGAGTACTTCCTGCATCTATTCAATATAAATACTACATTGCAAAACAACTTCATTCCTTTCTCCACCATCCAACATCTGCATTCTGCTATGCCCACATGCTTTAAATTATTGTAATTGCTTATGATCTAGAATTAGATTTTAAAATTTATTAGATTGATTGAATTAAAATTTTATTAGATATATTTGAATTAAAATTTATTAGATTTCTATTAAGAAATGATTGGTATGCACTGAAAATAAAGACTGGGAATTCTTGTGTCAGCGTCATCACACATCTTTCGACTCGATTATCGAAAGCTGCTAAATGTACCAGTGTTAACTGCACATCAAAACTACTATATATATATATATGTGTGTGTGTGTGTGTGTGTGTAAGATAAAAATATATGAATCAGAATTATAATATAACTATAAACATTAATTCTTCCTCTCTATTCTAAAATCGTAATAACTTCTCTGCATTGCGTCATTTCTAGATCACTCTATGGCCCGCGCAACTCCGATGACGTAATAATTAAGAACTGAAACTGTCGTTGTAAACCAAAACTTTTCTCTTCGCGTGCTTCCATCTTTCATAACTATTCACTTCAGCTTTTGCTCGCTACTGTGCTAAGATGTGATTTCGCTGGCTTGCTTTCTATCCCAACAATATCAAAAATGTAAATCTTCTGTGGAAAGGCACGACTAGAGTGCCAAGTGATTGTGGCCACAAATATCAATTGGAAATAAAAATGGAATTAAAACTGCTTCGACTGCCAAGTTCTTTAGATGTTACCAAGTTAGCATTACTAGCATACTACGCAATCAAAATCTTCTTCAATATGGGTCTAATCACGCATCTACAGTGTTCCGTCTTTTCCTTGTGCTTTTATCTCATCACGCATCGACACTGCTCCGTCTTTTTTTCTTGTGATTTTATTATGACATATATAAATTGTAGTAAGCTCGCATAAAAGTTACCAAGAGCTGCTGCTCCAAAAGGTTCAACACATTTTTAAAAAAATTAATACACATGAAAATCAAATCATTAGACATGTAAAACATTAAAAAATATTAAAAAACAGAAAAAGTTTAACAGAAAAGAGAAACAGAAAAGTACCAAGAGCAGCAGCTCTTGGTAACTTTTAGGCGAGCTTACTACAATTTTTATATTTTACTTATTTTGCAGCATATTGCGCAAGATGTTTTCTAGACCAAAATTGGTTTTTTAAAAATTGTTATTACTGCTTTGCTTGATAAATTATATATATATATATATATATATATATATATAGGTGTGTATGTGTGTGTATTCTTTCTGAACAGTACAAAAGAAAAGTGATATATTGAAAGAAGAACTGCAAAATCTATGAGAAACATCTAATCTCTTTAAGCAGCTTATGAGCCTTAAAAATTAAGCATTTGTATTGCAAAAGAGACCTGATTTTGAAATATTAAAATCCAACTTCGTTTATGAAAAACATTTTTCTTTTCTTATAGATTTAATTAATTAAATATTAATTGAAAATTTAGTCTGTATCAATAGATGCATTTCAAGTATTCTTGTGGCTAGTGGCAAGTGTATTTGATACCACAGGTCTAAATTTAATATTCAAATAGATAAATGAATTAATTAAATTAAATTTAAATAAATAAACAATATTTTTTCAGAGATTTTTACAACAGTCTTTTGGATATAATATGCTACAGATTAACAAAGCTAGTGATGAATCAAGCATTTTATGAGGAGGGAAATAATAATAGTACACTGCACTATTTGGGCATGTGTATTTTTTAAATGTAGCTACTACTGTGCAAGCAGTAAAGCCTAGTCACACATTTGACTGTTTTAATTTTAAGAATTAGAACTTGAATATGATAGGTAAAAATAACATTTTTGTTGTATTTATATTATCATTTTTAGTCCTCAGTATAGTTTTTAAAAACTTATCATTAATTAAGTAAAAATTACTATGGTAACATAAATAAAATGATCATCAAAAAATAAAACTCTGCATGAAAAATGCTGCCCAAGAGCAAATGCCTGCGCTTTACCCTCTTCATGCTACTTTTCTAACTGTGCCACTGCTGTGCTTATTAGTTATAATAATAGCAATAATATTTTATTTTTATTTTCCTCTAAATTTAACACCTTTTTTGTTCTGGGTAAATAACCTTGTTTCTAAATAATGTTTCCCCCCTTCTCCTGAGAATTATATAAGGCTTAGATTTTCAGTCTTGATGATTTACTCTTCATGATTACTCTTTATGATTACTCATAATACTTCTTCTACTGTCACATTTTTCTCTTAGCAATGCAGAGAAGGCACAATTACATTCAAACTAGTGCCAGGAGTGCCTCCAAAGCATGCACCATCAGATCAAGTCAGAGCTAATTTTTGCTATGATCCAATGCTTGATCCATTGAATCCCAAACCAGAATCAGGTCTTGCATATCGTAGAGGTGATATTCTTCACATTGTTAGTCGTCAAGATCCTGACTGGTGGCAGGCCCATTTAGATAATGATTCAAGAATTGGAATTATCCCTAGTCCAGATGTTCAAAAAAGGCAAGTAATTTTAAAACAGATTGATTGAATTAAAATTTATTAGATAATGATGTTATATGTTAATATGGTTTAAATGCATGGAAGATAAAAATTTGGATCAGTTTTCATTTATCTTTTACAAGCAGTAGGTGTCTCATATTTTTATATATATATTTTTATTCAGTGCTTTCTGTGGCATAAGAACTAATATTTTATATTTTGCAAAATTATTTATTAATTTGTGCATTGAATTATGCCACATAAAGCAGTATGCAATGTGTAAAATTTGCATGGTTAAATAATTGAACATTTATATGTTGATAATTAATAAGGAGTTTAATAATTACGAGGTGTAAGATATACTATGTTAAGTGTCATAAACGGTTACAAATTTTGAATAACCTTTGTTTAGATAACAAAGCTCCTTATTAAAAATAAAGGAAGAAACTCAACTAAAAAATTTCAACAAAATTGCAGTCAGCAGTAATTTTTTTCTTATTTGCTCTGATTTTTACATTGAATTTCTTTACCTGTTTACTTGAATTTTTTCATTTGTTAACGGAACAGAATCATTTTTCTGGGGCATTTTAAAATTTCTTAGTATCTGAATGCAGAAAAGACATTAGTAAAATAAAGGTTGGTATTAAAACTTGTTTTCATTGGAACTAAAGTTGTGTAACATTCAGTGGCTATTGGTCTGTTCCCTAATTTTGAATGGATGGACATGAAATTTGTGACATAGATACATTCAGCAAATCTATGTTGTATGGTTTGAATGCTTATAGGCTGTTAATAATGAGGTTATAATTTTGTCTTGGTATCATTCCCACAATTTGTAGATGATTTTGGAGGTTATGTAAATATTAGTTATTTTTCTGTAAATGTCAAGCATACTTGATAAGTTTTCCATATAATTCTTTTATTTCTATCTTATTAGTAGATTATTTTTCAAATATAAATAAGTTTAATAATACCTGCCCCTGTAATTTATGCAAATATTGCATTGCAGATTATTTCTTATTTCTGTTCAAATATCCAAATCAGAATTTTGAATCTTAAATTATTAGCCTTCAGTTCTTAATAAGATTTCTAGTTAAAAGGTCTTTTCCCAAAATTCTGAAGAGTTACCCTGCATTGCATTCAATACTAACAAACAGATTTGATATCAAATAATTCTTTTATTCTAGTTAAAAAGTCTTTTCATAACATATGCAGAGTTATCCACCATATTGCATTTCAGTACTAACAAGCAGATTTGATATCAAATAGTTCTTTTTTTTTTATATTTAAAAATGTGCATTTTGTAGAAAATATATATGTATAATATATCCATTCACCATCCACTTAAATTGAAATTTTGATCTCAAATAGCCAGGAGAGTGGTTAGCGACACTGACTGCCATGACGAAGGTTTGAAACCTGGAGAAGGCATAGATGTTCGTAAATATATAGTGTCGGTGCAGCATGAGGCACTCTAAATATGCGATGAGACGAAAGTTTTCTCGAGAGGTTGGCGATAGGTGAAGACGGATGGGAGATCCTTGGACCTGTCTTCCAGGGTGCTGTCTATCAAAATTGGGGACGGGACTAAGCTAAATCTCAATGTCACCTGTAATGGGCCTAAGGCTGTTGCTAATGACAGATGTAAAACTTGCACTCCTTGCCACAAGGAATTAATTTCGGGGGCTTGGGCTGACTAGGTCCAACAAGTGAGCATTAAGAACAACAACAAAGCAAGTAATTTCCAAACACACATAAACACAAATGCATCGCAGTAGTGTGATTGCTCCTCTGTCCACGTATGAGTTTTGGAGGTTTATCTCCTGTTGATGGAACATGCATGTACCATACTAGTAGAAACTGCTTAAGAATTTTTATCTCTAAATTGAACATATTATTTCATTTATGAAGCTAATATTTTGTGTTCATTATTATGTGATAGTAATATATGCATATGATATTGACAAGTTTGATAGACAGCAAATGACTATAAAAACTCATTATTGAAATTTAATTTGAATATATGAATTAAACTTCACTCAGTCACAGAAGCTCTAAAGTCGTTCTGGTCAATCACAAAAGAGTGGTGTACCGTTTCGATTGAGGGCTGTTCTGTGATGGAACTTTGTACGGGCAGTTCTTTCTATTCGGTTGTGAATCTCTTGGACGCAAAAGCCTTTCATGGACACGGCTATGGAAGGCTCTAGGATTTAGCTACCACTCCAACTCCAAAGCAGACATTGACAGGTTCGTTCATGTGCTTTCTTGAGTTCTTCAGTAGAGAGGTGCATTCATCTCCTCTCGTGTTCTGGCTTTTATGAACAGCATGCAGCCCACCGTTTCTTCATAGCATTAGGTCTGTGGGCAAGGATGAGATACTGGCTGGCAGTTGAGAAATGGCTACCGCTGCTGGTCAGAACTTATCTTTGATCGGTTTCATGCAAACTCGTCCCAAAGTTCTTACGTGATAGAGAAGTGTGTTGCCTTTCTGTGGACTGGCATGTTAGTTCGCTTGTCCCTAGGATCCCTCTCGTCTTCTCAAGGCAAGGTTATCATATGCATTTAAAATTTAAATGTACAAACTTTAAGATTGCAATAATAGAGAATCCAGTGCTATATAACTTTAAAGTGACAACTTTATAAATATATGTTTGGAATAAAAGACTAGAATAAGTAATAAGTTGGAAAGAGTTGATGACTTTCAACTTATTACTAATTTGATTTGTGTGTGTTAATTATGAAAAAAGAGATGATGATATATACAATTAGTACATTATTTGTATATGTATTAATGTATTTATCTGCCATTCTTATTATTTTCATTTCATTATACAAATTATACATTGTAGAATTTTTTTAGTATCTTAGTTGTATTAAAATAACATTTTTGTAATTTTTAGGCGTCTTTCAACATTTCAGAATGGCTCTCTTTGCAAAAGGAGTGAATTAAATTCAAATGATTACTTTGGTAAGTGTGTAAAAAATTATAATCAGATGCATGTTGAAATCTTTATATATCACATTTGTTTACTTTATCAACCACATACTATTTTGAAGTTTCTAATTACAAACTGGAAAATTGTGTTAAGATTAAGTTGGAAAACAGTATACTGTAATTCTATACAAGAACCGTATAATTTATTTTTAATTACACACATATATGTGTGTGTGTGTGTGTGTATGTTTTTATGTGTGGTATGGTTCAAATGTGGACATTTTTACCAGAATGAGCCATTCTTCTTTGTAACAACATTTATTTTTCGCAAAAGAAACTTAATTGCAGCATGAACATACATTCCTATAGGAAAAACACTCCTGGAATTGCCTCTCAACATCGAAACATCAACTAACTCTTGCCAGACTAATTCTAATCTATCTATCTTCATTGATTCTAATCTATGCTTCATTGATTGCATTGCATGATTGTTCTTTCAGACTGCTGCCATTCTTGCAAGAGAAATATAAATTGGGATGCAATTATAAGTATATGCAAATAAAAAAATATTAGGAAAAAAGTGCATGGCATTTAATTCCTGCAGATTCAGCCACCCTAGGCGTAATTGACCTCAGGATTATTTACAATATGGAGAAAACTAATTATGTCTCCTGTATGGTCTCCTCATAAAATAACCAAAAAAAGAAAATCTAGGAATTTTTCTTAACCTTCGTCTAGGTGGTATACTAAACCTGCATGTTTAAACCTGCATTTATAAAGTACCTTAATTTAGTCTTCCTCAAAATACAGATTCTTCAAAAGCTGAGAAGTGATTATTGCTTCTATAGAATTTTCATATAAAGAATCAGTAAGCACTCAAATAATGCCCAGTACATTTATCACACTGAATTGTATCTAGGTTTATTGATCCATAACTATGAAAATTCTGCTCAAATTCTTCAGCTGTAGCACCACAGTTTACATTTCCTGTTTATTCATAGATCATGAATCAATTTCTACTTTTTCTGTGACACAAATCCAGCAGACTGAGCAGCTTCTTCTCAATGTCCGCTAACTTTCAGAAGCTGAAGAACTATTCTCATTTTCCATGGACTAATACAGAGGATAATTTTTTACTGATTGGTATCTTTTATGCTTATGATAAGATTGATAGCTATTGCATTTGCTCAAATGGTACCCAGCACTGGATGCATAAAGCTATCTTCTGTTGTATGAGTAATGAGAATTACGATAGTTATGCCCATAATTTTCATTATGCCTTTTTAAGACAATCTTTTTTTTTTTCCTTTTTGATCATACTTCTTATTAAAGGGAACATTACATGAATCATTCTCTTGCAGAAGTTTGATTCTGTGCTTCTCTCTCTCTCTCTCTCTACATCATCCAAAATAAAAAATTTTTTAATTTAGCAGAATTTTTTTTTTTTTTTTTTTTAGTCTTATGCTTACAAAACTTATCACCATTTTTACTAAAATTTAATGAGGCTTGGTCCATTCCAGTTACAGCTTGACAACAGAGTTAAGCTGAGTGTGAGTGGTAGGCACAACATTCCACTTTAGAGCAAATATAGATCCATCTGTTTCTACTTCATTTAAAAAAAAGGGGGAAAGAAAAAAAAACCTCATAGTCCAAATTTCTGATAATTCATTTTGTGCATAAAAACATTAGTTTCCTCAAATATTTCATGCATTTAGTGTTTTCAAAATTTGTTCCGTGAATTAACAAGTACTTTTATGTTTATGCCGTATGTTATGAATAAGAAAAGCCTTAAAGGGGAATTTAACTTGTTTTATTAAATATCATTATCTTAGGGGTGTGATTTTACATGTTTTATTAAATATCATTATCTTGTCTTTGCTTAAACTACACATCTGACTATTATTGGCAAAATTCTGGTAAAAGAGTGTGTGAATTTTGTGAGTAAATGTAGTATTTTTTCTCATTAATTTAAAGTGGATGAATTACAACATATTTTTAGATAAAGTTTGATGGTTAATTTGCGCATGCAACCTTGCTTACATTAAAGAATATCTTTTAATACATAATATAAGCATTTATAACGTTCAAACAAAGTTTTAAATGTTATAAGTGAATTTGGCAATTTTGGTGCGTGTGAGAAAATATTGAGTGAATTTAGTATCTTCATATTCTTTTTTGAAGTAATAACTGTAATAACTTAAAATTTTATTGCTTGTTTATTGTTATATTTTCTAAACATTTCAAAAATATGTGATTTACAAATTATGCAGCAGTTTTGCAAATTAAATATTCTTTCGTTCATCATTCATTATTTTTATACATTTGATGAGGAAAAAAATTGGTGCTCATCAGTTTTTCTACATTTCTAGATCCTGATGCTAAAGATATACAAGTGTATGAAGAAGTTGCACTGTTACATCCTGTGCCTGGAACATATAGACCTATTGTACTCATAGGTATTTAAAACCAGATTCTAAATGTTTTTAGTAAAATCGGAATATCTTTAAAATCATCATGCAGTAACTTGATACAAAGTAATGAAAATGCTTTTACATTTATATGTGTATATATACATAGCTACCAATTCTCCACTTCTACCAGGAGGCCCCTGGATTTTTATTCCATTTTCTGGTTTTCAGTTTTTAGCACTTACTAAGCAAAACCAATAAATAAAATTTATTGAATTATTGGACACTAAACTTGCTAATTCCACCCCTTACTTGAAGTGATTTAAAGCATAATTTTTCTTATTAAATTTTATATTGTATGAATTTATCTACTAGACATCCATAGAACTTCTTATGGTGATTTAAGCAATGTTTAATCAGTTAGTATTTAATTTATTTAATTTTGTTTCACATCATATATACATTATTTAGTTAATCCATGCAATATATTCATTAGGCAATTAAAAAAAAAAGCTTTTCTTTATTTTTATATTGCAATACTCTTAAGATGCCTTTCCGCCTAGCTTGAGCAAAAGGGAAAAAAAAAAAATTTAAATGAAATTATATATTTCGTTTGTGCATCATGTTCAGAATTTCGAAAAATGGTGAAATTTTGATGTTTTTTGTTAATTTTTTTTACATTTAATTAATTCACTACTATTAAAGCACTGTAGGTTCTAATGTAAATTCGGGGCATAACAAATATGAAAAAAGTTTAAAACCAGTAATTTAAAACTATTTTCTGTGTGCACAAAAAGCACAATTTTCTTTCCTAATTTTTGCCAGAAGCTTTTTTAAATGGAGAGTATTAATTATGAATGATTATGCAGCTATACTGTGTAATCTTAAATAATGTGTATATTATAAGTATTATGTAACTATATACGTGATAATTGATTCAGACAATTCTCACATTATCAACAAAAACAAAATAAGAAGAGGAAAAAAAAAGGACTAACAGAATTTATTAAGGAAACATTACATGGTCTGTTATATAATAATACATATATCGGCTGTCTCTCCCTCTTCAGGATTTGTTTAATATCTTGTTTCTACCATAATTTCCCATTTGACTACACATGACATTTTCCTTTTAGAAATTCATGTGATAGAGAGCAGTGGAACTATAATTAATACTGATTAGAAAAATGGTGTTATCCAGCAGATCAAATTGCACATCGGGACTATATGCCTCATACTCTTCATTGAGCTGCAGTTCCATCACCTATTTCATCACTTAAATCACATTACCACAGAACCCAAATCCTTCAGGGGTCTTGTTGGGGAAAAACTCGCTGGCTGTGGAAAACTTCCACTGATTCGCTTTGAACATATTGAATTCTCCATTCCTCAAGTTGATGGAAAAGTGTTGAGCAAGGATCAGTTTACTTGATATTTCTGATGGCATAGAGTCAGGTAAATTTTAGATTTAACAGCTCATGATCCTTTCATGATCACTTTCACACTCAAGATGACAGCAAACTTAATGTGAGTTTCGAAATATATATTGATGAAATTAGGCAGTTGATACTTTTATTTTGAATTGTTATATGTTTCTCTGGTCCAAATCAAAACCAGCAAAAATTTCACAAATGGTCTAAAGATAGTTTTTGAAGCCATCAGAACATCACGATTTCCACTCAAAATTTAGTGCAAGTGATCAACCCAGTAGTTCAACATTAAAGACTAGCACATTGCTGCAACTGGATTTTTAAAGCCACTCTTGTTGTACTCAAATTCTATCGGAATGTATTATATTAAAATTTTCAAAAAATAATAATAATAATAATAATGTGTACCCTTTTGAATAACAAAATAAAAAATGATAAATATATGCACAGTTTGTTTATTAAAAGTGTATTTTAAGGTGTATTTTCGCATGAAAATTTATTTTTGCATTTTGCTTAGCTAGGCAATATGCAACTTTTCCGCAGTATAAGCCATAGGGGGAAAAAGTATTTTTTCAGCCTATCCTAATTGATTATTAAATATGAATAAATGAATGAAAACTAACTTATTTTTATTATTTTTCCATAAGGTGCTCCGGGTGTTGGTCGTAATGAATTGAAGCAGAGATTGATTTCATATGATCCTGTGCATTATAAAACAACTATTCCCCGTAAGTTTTAAGTTTAATTACATTCATTTTAGCTTGGGAAAAAATAATAATTATAATTTATCTTAAATTGTTCTTCTGTATTAAAGTGTCAAGATACAAATATTATTCATTGCTGCAAGTTTGTATAAAGCCTGAATTAACCAGTGTTCTTAATTTCTTGCCTAAAGATAGTCAAAACTTAAGTGAAAGCTCTCTCTATCTGTGTACATTATTCTAACTAGTGTTTTATCTTATATAGATATTAATTGTTGGAAACTCTGTGCTGTTTCAAATTTCAAGAGCAGCTCGAAAATTTTCTCCAACTGTTTTCTGTGAGAGTTTGGCTCTTTAATTTAAGTGAAAGAAATAAATGTATTTTTAATATATATCCAGAAATAAAGAGAAGTTAGATACGAGTCATTATATTAAAACATTCTTTTTAAGTGTCAGACTGAATGGCCGTTAGTAGTGTTCTCGTATTCTTCAGTTCAAAATTTTTCCTTTAAATTTAAAAGATATTAAAATTTACGTCCAAGGAAATTCTGTGTTGGATTTTTAGAGATATGATAAATTGTTAATTGAACTGCTGATGCTAATGTAGTAATACATAAGCTAGAAATTATGCACTGAAATATGAAAGTGTGTGGAAAGGAAGAAACAGCAGAATAAAATTTTCATTTTCATTTGAATGTTTTGTGCAAATTAGTAAATACAGTTTAAATTATAAAAAACTAAATGACCTACTGTTTTCTAAATTTTTGTTAGTATTTTATGAAATTAAATGTTAAATTTAAATATTATTAAAAAGCAGTGATGATGTTTAGTGTCCAAAATTGTCTGTTAATGCATGATCAAATTATGAAAATATCTTTATGTACATAAAACAGTATTTCACAAAATAACCAAATGTAATAAATCTTAACTATACAGTCAAAAGTCGTTAATCCGGACTCATCTGGACTTCGGCGATTCCGGATTATAGATCATCAGTTTAAATCTCGTAAGATGGCATGCAGAAATTCTAAAATTAAAAATATGAAACCGTAATTTATGAAATAAAGAACAATTATGATCTAAAGGGTATCAAAATTTGCAAAAAGAAAAAGCTTAATATTTATTTGTTTACTTTATTAAACATTTCTTTCAATGTAAGTTGTTTAAGTTTTGCTTCGTTTCATGTGATAATACTTTCTCTTTAATTCTATTAAACAGACATAATTTCTTGTTCAGTTACAAAGTTCCGCTGTTCAAGTCCTATAATTGCTGTGTGTCGAGAACACCGACTAATTTGTCAATCGAAATTTTTTTGTTTTCAATAACCTCTGTCACTTTTCTTCGCTATCGGAAGCGAATTATAATGACGAGGAACTTGTTTTAAATCATATCAAAGACGGAGCATATCGAGATGAAATACTACATTTGGTAAAGAAATTATAAGCCAAATAAAATAAAAACATCTGCGCTGAAGATAAGGATAGTGTTGACAGATCAACTTCCAATTCATTATGTCGCGGCGTTCCCCCCGCCGAGCAGCGTGAAATTGATAAACAGATTTCGGATTTCAAAACATATTTTCGCTTTAGATCCTTTACATATTAACAAATATATATCGGAAATTCTATTTGATATAATCGAAAGTTTAAGCTTACTTTTATAAAATTGCTCTTACAGTCTGCAAAAAATAATAAGCCGGATCCAATTCGAAAATTAAGAAACAACGCAATTATCAACATTAACTGAAATAGATAATTAGATGATTTTAGCGTATACGTCCATCATGCATAAAACGCACACGCGAAAACGTATTCTGCACTTGCGCGCACTCATATGCGCAGTCGTAAAAGGTCTTACGCGCATGCGCAAACGCCTATGCGCACGTGTCAACGCGGCACATGCGCAGAAAGTTTTTAGTTTTGAGATCCGGATTATAGATCATTCCGAATTATGGGTGTCCGAATTAACGACTTTTGACTGTATAAACTTTCCTCTCTCATTCTGAATCTCATCTTAGTCAGAGAGACCTTGTCCACACCCTTTGGATAACGTGTTTCAAATTTCATAGCTGTAGGTCTATCCATCTTTGTCCTCTGTGCTCCATGGATACACACACACATGCAAACAAATTCTGTTTTGTTATTATGAATGTGTATTATGAAGTAAAATTTAGATGATCTCAACCACCTAATCCATAGATGCCTGTAATTGGAGTCATTTTTGGATGTAAATAAAATTTAATTAATAGGGAAATTCAGCAAGAAAAGTTTTTTTTTTTTCCTCATGTAGATATGTAAATAACTTTTAAAGAAAAATAAACGTATGATTGTGAAAATAAATTTGTGATATATTTCAGTAACGAAGGAAATTTATTTCGTAATTTAAGTTATTTAGCATTTTTGTGCTCCCATGTTAGTTGTCACTTTTTATAGTAAAAGGGGATTATGATTCTCTGTAAATTTTTCATCTTTAGATAAAACTTATTGTGATGTCTTTTAAAATTAATTATTCGTTTTTACAGTTAATATGTGTAAAGAATTTATTTTTCCCCATCTTTTCACACATTGTATTGCAACTTAAAATTCACCTTGTTTGTTTCATTCCTGTAAAATAAATAAGCTTTTTTCCTCTGGTGGTGAATAAGGATAGATTCTGAAAAATTGCAATTTTGGAGTTTTTCCGGCATTAAAATTAGGAAACATGGTTAAGAGAAGTTTGCAAAATTCGAGAAAAGCTTTCCTTAGAAAGTTCAGGTCTAGTACTTTGATTTAAATATTAGTAGTGTCACTGTTACACTGTATGTGAATGGAATGTATGCTATATTCAGGGTAAGGATTAGGGAAATCTTTTGTGCTAGGAGGATATTTATTTATTTTTCTCTTAGTAATTTTATTAATTTTATTAGTGGAGATACAGTCCCTACTCAAAATACTTTTTTTTTTTTTTTTTTTTTTTTTTTTTTGAGGAGATTAACACCTTAAGAATATTTCTGTATCATTTACCTCTCTTCTTTTTACTGCATTTTTGCTTTACACTAGCATTATCTTTGTACATAAATATACTTAAAAAATGTAATAGTTTTCTGTTTAATAAATCTTGACTAAATTATTTGTAAGGTATGAATGTGTTTTGATTAGATATTTATGAGCTAACAATCCAAATATAATGTAAAAATTAGAAAGAGAATATTTAATATAAAAATTAGAAGATTGGAATAAGCTAAAAACTTAGTAAATCATGACCCATAAATTGCAGAATTCTCTAATTTTAACTAGCATTGGTTCCAACTTGTACGGATTATCAGTATTCTGTTGTAGTCTGTTTTGATATGAAAAATGAATTTACTATTCGTTTGTAGTGTTTTCCAAAAGTGTTTTCAGTACTCAGATAGATGCATGAACGATTTGAAAGAAAAGAATTTTTTATTCATTGAAGTAAAACTTTCCTCACTTTTTTCTTTTGTATCTATCTTAATATTTACCAGAGGCTGTAAAAGACTAAATAGGTATAAAAATAAAAATAACAAATGGTTTCAAAAAATCTGGATTTCTGCAAAATAAATGAAAGAAAATTATGTGAAATATTTATTTTTAAGAAAAAAAATGCTATGACAAGTATAAAGTTTAGAAAGAAAATGAATGTTTTGTCTAGGTAAGGATAGTGATTGTTGTTTGAAACAACATCCTGATGTAGAAATATATATGGAGTTTTAAACTATTGTTAATTAATTGTGAAAAATTGGTAGATTTTTGGAAAATATAGGTATTTCATTATCAATAGCATTATCAATTTTTGAAAACGGGCAACTTTTTTAAAATTAATTGGTTACTAAAAATATTATTTGAAATTTTTAAAAATACTAGTTTCAGCTGAAAAAGCAAAATTGTTTTTAAGAGTTTTTTTAACCTTTTATTATTTAAAGATCATTATTAACATTGCTTTTTCATTTCAGACACCAGTAGACCCCCTAAGAGTTGGGAAGAGGAAGGCAAAGAATATTATTTTGTTTCTCGTGAAGAAATGGAAGAAGGCATTCGTGAAGGAAAATTTGTTGAGTATGGGGAATACCGTGGAAACTTGTATGGCACAAGTATTGGAGTCAGTTTTTACTATTGTGAGATCTGGTCGTGTCTGCATTTTAAATCCTCATCCCCAGGTAATGTATAGTTGATTTTATTCTTAGTGCCTCTGTTTTCTCTCTTCCTGTATCTTTGTGCTTGGCACATTATGTTAATATCCAATATTAAATAAATAAAGATTAGTTCTAAAAGCAAGTTAAATATTTTTTTTTTCCATTTTTGTAAGTTTATTTACATTCAAACCCAAATTTAGAATGAATGTCTTCATTGTTTCAAAAATCAGTACTCTAAAAATAAATGCTCTCTGTGAGAGTTAAGTAACAGTGTTAAATATGCAGATTTGTCATTATGAATTTTCTAAATTTTCTATCCCAAACAAGGATATTTTTAAAAGAAAACTTGGCAGTTCTGTGCAGTTATATATTAAAAAGTAATTTGCGCTTAGTTTATAAAAAAGTAGTCTTCACTTCATACAAGTAATGTATTAGCATTATTTATTTTAATCACTTGAAAAATAATTGTTTGTAAGAGATTTTTAAATTAACTGTTACATATATAGTTTCAAGCATGTCCTTTTTATCCTCAGCATATTGGGAATATAGTTTTAGGTACATCTAAATTTTTGTACTAATAAGAGATACTTGATAAAAATATTTTTCTGTGTATGTAGTAAACACGTATGTGGTTTTGCTTAATTATCTAGGCATCCCATTATTATTTCTACATACTTCTTTTTAAATAGTTTTGTAATAAAAGCTGAAGAGAGAATAAAAATTATTAATTAAAATATGTAAAGGTTCTTTAGTGTATGTAGGATATACAGACTACAGTGAAAGAGCTAAAGTTTTTAGAAATCTGGTAATACTGTAAACTACAGCCTAAAAATTATATGCAAACACAAATTTTTGTTATAAATGTGAACTTTCTCATGAACACTTGCTGTTAAGAAATGAGAAATTTTATAAAATTCTTTTCACTCCTTCATCTTTAAATTAATGAGATAGTATTCATCATTAAATTAATGAGATAGTATTCATCTTTAAATTAATGAGATAGTATTCATCTTTAAATTAATGAGATAGTATCAAACTCAGTTATTTGAAAAAGATTTTTGAGCTATGACTTTTTATGATTTTCAATAAAGTTTTCCTGAACAGCAATTAATTCCAACTTTTGATCATTGCTTTGAACTCTTTTCAAAGCAGTGATATGTAGCTGGCAAAGCAATGATATATTGATGCTATTTAACAAATAATCACATTGGACTGTCACAGTATGTATGATGAAATCATCTCTGAGGACCCTAATGCATTCAACATACAAAGTCAAAAGGTGTAAGAAAAATCTTTAAAAAAATTTAACTTCCATGCCTCAAAATGAATGCATGCATTTACCCGGACACTTACGTAGTACTCATATGTATCTGGGTATTTGCATATTTTCACGTAATGCATATTTTATGTAATGGTTAATATTCATTTTGCTAAACAGTATTCACTGGCTGTAAAAATGTAAATATTGATTACATATATTTTTGTATTTTCTCATAATTGTGTCTCATAAAATTCTTTTTAATGAACAGAACATTACCCACCTATGAGCCATAAAAATAGCCAAACAAATTTTTTTCATCTATTCACAAAATCACTAACAAATTGGCTGCTTTTCATGGAGGTGCACATAATCAGAAAGTACTACAAATATTTTGAAAAGCAATAAACTGATTTATTTCCATAGCAAAATATTTTGTTCATGACTTTTCTAAAACGCAATTATAGATCTATCCTTTATATGTTATGCATTTGCCTACATTTACTGAATGGCCAAAACATCACAAATGGTGAAGGTAGGAATCCCATATTTCACAAATGGTGAAGGTAGGAACCCCATACCAGCATGCTCTAAGCAAAATGAATGTATGTGAACCAGATGCAAATTCTAAATTGGGAAATTGTAGCAATTTGAATGACTTAGATTGATCTATCTATTTCCAAAGTGTTGAAAGTCTAGTATTCTCGTGGGCAACCATATTAAGATTTTGCCGAGAGTATGTTATCAATGGAGAGACCAATGCTTAGCACTGATGATTTTCCAAGTCTGGTGCAACTTTATCCTTTCTAGTGAGAACTGCCTGAAAGGGTTGCAATGCCGTGATTCAAGCCTGCTATAGCTGCATCCTAGGGAGTATTGGTCAGCAGATGGAATGACACAATCTACAGATCCAGGCCACTGACATAATGGGCTTATCAGCAGTGTCGTTAAACCTGGTCTGGTGCAAAAGTAATTTAATAATACGTAATTATTGATCTCCCATCAAAAGTTCTTAATTGTCATCTATTTTATGTGCCAAACATAAAACCTGATTTATGGTGCAATGATTTCTCATACTTGACTACTGAATACTGGGTATGTATTTTGCATAAATATCCGCATAAAACTGCATAAATATTCGCATTCTAAAAGTTTGGGAACCCAGTGGTTTAGACTTTTTACTGATCTTATAGTTTGTACTTATTATTTTTATGATGCATGTGTTGAACCATGACATTTAAAACATCACATGATGGTATTCAGTCTCTTTTGTAATGTTTTTTGGGGAAAGGGGAGGACATTTTGTAATGATGGTAAGCTTTTTTTGTAAGGTAAATGAGTACAGTGTTTTCTTCTTTGTTTCAGGCTTTGAAGCTTCTGCGTACAGCAGAACTGAAGCCATATGTTATATTTGTTAAACCTCCACCATTCGAATTGCTCAAAGAAACTAGGAACTCTGCTCAGTCCTCTTTTGATGAAAATTATTCCCGTGGATTTACTGTAAGTTTTATCTGTACATTTTGCATGATTTTTCACCTTTAACAAGGCATACTATTTTAGAAAGTACATTAGACACAATTTTTTTGAATAACCTTGAATTTCTTATCCAAGGAAGCATCAATAACTATTTCTGTTTTCTCATTTAAACTTCCTCACTGTTCTTATAATTTAGTAAGATTTTGTCAAGAATGATGATAGTGAGCGATCAAGATAAAACTGAATAATCATTATGGTGACTCTGAGACAATATTTTCTTATCATGAATTTGATCATAATAAAAATTTTGTTACTTCAATAAATGTTTTGCAACATATTTAACCAATAGAAAAGATTTCTAAGGAAATTCTGGGAACATAAAGTAAGTGCTGAAAGCAGTTTAAAATATTTAGTAATACTATGATTCATGAAAGAATGAAATGCACTATTATATGCATCACATATATGTATAAGCCATTTTATTAAATATTTGTAAGGAAAGTAGTTTATTATTATTTTTATAATAATTTTTTTAAAAAGTATAGGAAAATAGTTAATTAATAAGTAAACTAAATTTTTAAATAATTAATGAAAATAAAAAAAAAGCTTACACATTAAGAAGAAATATGGCGATCTGAAAATACTCTGTATGATAAAGAACTCTATGTGCTGTGTACTAAATATGTAATGTACAATCAGATGTTTATTACAAAGCACATATGATAGCATGATCATGTAGCAAAATTTGCAAGGCAAACATACAATCTTGCATTTGCTGATTTTGCTTCATAGATCTTAATAGTGATTATTTTTGTAAATGCATGCATTTTTGGAAGTTAGAAAATCACACTTGTTAAATCCTTGTTATTTAAGTCCCTGCATTTGTTGAAAGCACTGATAACCTTGTTAGCAATGAAAAGCTATTCTGGCAAGATGTCTGCATGTAATACTATTATATTTTTATCAGCATTATTGTTTATTTTAACCATATTTTATTGATTCTTTTTTTTAAGGGTGCAACTCTGATATATGCCCAAATTTCACCAAATGTGGCGATATGTGTTCAGTGCTGATTTTTGGCGCAATTGCATGTTGTATGGCAACCCTGCTGACGTTGAAAAATTTTTCACTGGAGCTTGTTGTTTCGCATCATGCTTGTTGATTCACGTCTGTGTCTGAGAAGGTAGGGGGAAAGATAAAATGGTGGAAGTTGTTGAAGTTCAGCAAAAGGAAATATCATTGTGGCCATCCTGTTGTGGGGCAGTGGGTGTTTGAAGGAGTGGAAAGAGGGTCGTTGCCTAGATTGTGCCATTCGTAGATGTTTTTTTTTAAGTTAAAACATATTGCTGTGTACATGGATTCTTGTCAAATATTTTTGGCTAGAAACTTTATATTTTTGCTATCTAAATTTTTTGTTTTTGTTTCAGATTTTTAGCTTAAATTGTGTGTTCAAAATGTGGTTTTTGCATGTGTGAATCTGCGTTTTTGGAGATATTTTAGGCTTAAAGTTCAAAATGTAGAAAAAAAAATTTAGATAGTAATATGGCAGCATGGAGTTTCTTGCCAAAAATATTTGGTGAGAAATTTGGCGACTTGAGGGTGCATATCAGAGTAGTCCCCAAAAAAGTATTTATGAAAAGCATTTTCAAGGGAGATAACACAAAAAAATGATGTAATGCAAAAAAATTTCATAGAAGCTTTTGTAAAAAGTTTATTTTGTTCTTTTTCATTTTTTTGCTCAAATTTATGTATGATTTAATTTATTCATAATTATAACTTATTTAAATTTAGTACACTCCTGTTTGTGAGAATTTAAACTCCATCAAAAATCACCACAATCGAATGAAATTTATTTCACATATAACCTATACTGTAACAAAGAGAGATTAAATTTACAAAATAATGCAATATTATTGAATGCTTAAAATCAGTATTTGGTTGAGCTGCCCTTCTTTGAAATAAGATTTCGTATTCTTACTGGCATTGAATCAAAAGGTCTTGAACGTATATCTAAGGAATATCCTTCTATGTTGCTTATCCATATTAGAATGAAACTCAAAATTCCAGACATGTTTGGTAGGTGACATATCTGATGAATGAGTAGGAAAAAGAAGAAGCAGTATCTGTCATGTTAAGAAGTTTCGAATATTTCTAACAACTGCTGAACAGATACTGTACTGCTGAAATACACCTCCAGCAATGCATTGAATAAAGCATGCAACTTTAATCTCCACAAGTTTCCTGCTGTAGCTGTATGAGTGTACAATCAAATCTCAGTGGACAAGATAACCACTTCATTCCAATGAAGCCTAAGGTCTTTATCCTTTGGCATTTGCCCAGTGTACTGCTGAAATACAACTCCAGGAATGCATTGAATAAAGCATGCTGTAATAACTTACTCAATATTCCATAAGCGGCATCAGTGGATCTTGATATGTTATGGCACCAAATAAAGACACTTTTCTTTACCTAAGCTATTTATGAATCAAAGACTATGTACAAGTATTATATACAGATTACAGGATATCTAGTTCTTACCACTCTCTTCACACTCTCAACGCTCTCTGGTGAAAACTCTTAATTAGCCAAACATATGGGCGGCGCAGCACCCTCTTTCTCTTTTTCTACATCACTCCCCACCTGTACTTTCAATAAGAGTACTGAAACTTACTTACAATATTAACATTAATTAACAATGGTTTTGTACTAAATACAGAGGCTGTTCACACATTTTTAGACGATGTATATTGTATTCACAAAACTAAATTACATAAAATTCTTGTGTTTTAAATGTTGTATTTGACATCCCTTATTCTGAACTATCTTTTGACACCGCAATTTCCAGGATAATAATGCCTTTTTGAAGTGGCAGAAGAGGAATTCTATCCCATTCCTCCCGAACAGCTTTCCAGAGTCCTGTTAGGGTTTGGGGACAACGTTTGGATAATGCAGTTTTTAAAAGTCCGAAAGCACAAAATCCATAGGTGATCCATCGGGAGATTTAGTAGGGATATCATTGAAGGTTATGGCCTTGATACCAGTTTTTTGTTCCATTTCTTTTAGGAAATTTACGGTGGATTTTGATGTGTGACTGCTAGCTTTGTCCTGATGGAGTCTCACAGATTGATGGCACTGTGAGTAAAGCGATGGTATTTCATTCAGAAAAATTGGCGATAAAATATGTTCCTGATAGTATTTGTAGTTAATCTTTACTTTACTAATTTGTAGTTATCTTGACTTTTTTTGTACTCTCTTTATTTTTAACTTCCCATTATAAGAAAAACCAGCAACAATCATGAATCCCTTAGAAAAACTTTCTTTCGATTCTTTGAACCATGTACTTAAATTTTTTTTTCCCCTTTTATGATAATAAATGGCTCTTTTTTTGTTACAGTCATTTAAATACACCCATGCTTCATCTATTGTGACAATTGTTTTCCATTTTTCTTTGGATAAGTGTTTCTCATATAGAATTCTGCAGCGTGTCCTGCATTGAGCGATATGCTTTGGAAGAAGACGATGCACATTGTGTTTTTTCGCTTTCTTAAGATTTAAGTCAATGTTTATCATTTTGTTTACAGTGCATTTTAATGATTTTGCAACTGTCCTTTGACTAGGGGGATTTTCTTTTAAGATTAAACAATGGACCTTTGCAATAGTCGAAGATGTCAGTTTTTTCCGTGGATACTTGTTTGGAATTTTTGTCCCACTTGAGGCTCCAATTTGACATTTTTTTCCCTTTCTTGTTGATGATATTACCTATCCACGCTTTAGATATCACAAAACCATGACTCTCACATCGTTTTTGGATAACAGAGTATGCATGTTTCTCTTCGGAAAGAGCGTAAATGTAGCCTTCGAACCACTGCTTTGTTAAATTCGCCATTTTGAATAAAAACAAAACTTTCAAGCCACAGACGATAATTTTGACTTTTAAAAACATAGTACAATTGCAATTACTTCTTTTGCAACAAACGGTATCTTGTTACCACAAAATCGTCTAAAAATTGTGAGAACAGCCTCTGTAGTATGACATATATAAATGAATAATATAAAAGAATAATCTGTACTAGTACATATCAAAGCCACAAATGAACATAATAATTAATAATATAATAATAAAAACTCAATAATATAAAAAGTTCTAAATTAAATCTCGAAAGGATATAACATCTGGATCGATCTTCTGAATTGTCCTTTGGGCGTGCGAAAGAGGCACACTCGAACATGTGCATCTCTTCCTATAATTATGTTTTCAATTACACCCATGTCCCAAAGTAGTTTGGATTGTTTTGGTCCTTCTACCAACACAACCTCTCCAGTCTTAAGGTTCCGCTCAGTTTTAGGATTAACAAAGTTATGTGCATTTCTAAGATGGTGTAAATGTTGCTCTTTCCACTTGATCCGTGTTAATTTTAAGAGCCTAGATTGGTAAAGCTTCCTCCTAGTTAAGTCCTCTTTGTCGGACACCTTGTTAAAAATTTCCAAGAAGTGCTCGGGAAAGTTAAATGTATCACGTCCTTTCTGGCAATAAAAATTGTGAAGTTGTGAGCGGGCGAGGTTAACCCAGCTCGTTGCTCTTGTATGTTAAAGGTCTATTATTATGCACACACTCGAGTTCGGTTAATATTGTAGAGAGCTCTTCGAAAGTCAGTAATGCTCTTCCTAAAATTTTCTTCAGAGGTTCCTTGATTATTCTCATTAGACGCTCGCAGAACACTCCCCACCATGGGGAATGCTCAGGTATGAATATCCATGCTATCTCTTTGGATGTCAAGAAATCTCTTACACTTGGCTCTGCTCTTATTCTTTTAAATCCTATTGTTTTAGCTTGCAGAGGTTCAAATGATGGAGCTGAAGCGTCCAAATTCGAATGAGTATTTTTATTTTCATAACTCGCCACCTGTGCAACTATGTCTTTGTTTATTTTTTGTTTGGGAGGGAAATGAAGAGTCACGTGATGTTTCTTTTTACAAATGCTGCAAGAGAGTTTATTGCTGCAATCAATCCCATTATAATTTCCTAAACAGTTGAAACATAGATGTTTTGATTTCACTAGCCCAACTCTATTGCTAACTGTTATGTTTTTATAAACAGGGCATTTGTACAAAAGATGAATTTCATTGCATCATAAAATACATTTTGAATTTTTTACATCAGTTAGAAAAACCTTTGACATATTTTTAGGATAACTGCTTTTATTACTCAACCTAGAATTATCCACTACAGGTTTTCCCTTTGATGTATAATATAAATCTATCTCCTTTGCCAATTTTACAGGTTTAAACCAAGAATTTCCTTGCCTTACATTTATAAAACACATAACCTCTGTATCAAGTGTTTGACATATTTTATCAGAAACCATTAATTGTTTTAAAGTTTCAAAGTCATTTACCTTTTTCAGTTTCAAATAATAATCCCAACTCGTAGTTAATCTAGAAGCAAACTGCACATAAGTTTCATTCGTTGTGTCGTCCTAAAATTTTCTAAACAAATTTGGAGGGATGGTTTGAATTCTCTTAGCCTTTGAATAATAATTAATTTCTTTAACCTTTGAATAATCTCCTAATTCATCGTCTTTAATGTATGTAATAACATTTGTGGATTTTTCTCCCAACAAATTTAGAAGAATTTCCGATTTAAATTTCTCTGGAACACATTTAGAAATGAATGCCCTTTCTAAAGATGAAAAGTAATAACCCCAACCTTCTGGTCTAATTAGAATTTTAGTTGTTAATGGGTGTATACTTTTAATAAGAGAGTCAAGAGATTCTACATTTTCCCTTTTCTTATATTCTATGTTTAAATATATGTTTTCACTTTTTGATTCTGCTCGCAACTTCGCGAGTTCTAGTTCTGTTTTTGCTCGTTCCGTTTTCAATTTCTCAAGTTCGAGCAATCGGCTCTTGTCACTTTTCCTTTCGTCCATAATATTATTAGCTATACCTTCAACTAATACAGGATCCTTCTTATAGACCTCTCACTGTTTTTTATTATATCAGTTAAATTAAATATAATTTTCACTTCTGAAATGTCTAAATGCAGCTCTACAGCAATATGCTGATAATCATCATCTCCCTTTTTTTTTTTTTTACTTTTAAACATTTTGAAACTACTTTTACAACTACAATTATTACATTTAAGGCCACGTCATACCTTCTATTTAAGAGTAATCCACAAGTTTTCTTCCATAACGCTTGTCTTTCGAATTTGACACATTCTACACAATTTGGTACACACGTTTTCACTACCGGTATAACTCCGGCTGGGTAAGGACCAACAATGGGCCCACAATAGCTCAATTATACTCATAATTAAATAAGTCGCTTTACACAAGATAATAATTAAAAATAATTATTTATTTTAAAATTAATAATTATTTTATAATTAATAACTCAAAAATGGATTGTATATGAAATTTATTAATTACTCTAAAAGCCGCATAATTAGTTCACTTCTCTCGGCGGTGTCTCAGAACTCGCCCAAACTCAAAACAAGTGGCCACAAGATGGTGCTATAAACAAACATCAGCGTCATTGTTTTAGAACACAAATAGTACATATTTTTCACAGATGGTGCCTCTGTCGTCAACAATGCCTATAAAAAAAGAATTAATTTCATCCAAACTAAACAATATGAAGACCGTAAACAACATTTACTGAAGAGACAAACTTTACAAAAAAGCTATTATGATAGGAATGCAAGACCATTTAAACCACTAAAGGTAGGAGATCATGTGTACATAAAAAAAAAAAAAGGGAAGAAACTAAATGAAAGTGGGAAAATTATAGAAGAAGCAGAAAGACCACATTCATACAGGAAGGATTATAAGAACAGATGGAACAATTGTAGAAAGGAACAGAAGAGACGTACTTAAAGGAACTAATAAAAAAGAGTTTGCAATATAAAACAACTATGAAAATGAAGTTATAGATGAACCTGAGAATAACAGGAGTGCTTCAAATTTAGATGTACCTGTAAGTTCTTCAAAACCTAACAGAAGTGTTCTACTACCAAATACTGAAAGAGGTATTGTATCACCAAATTTTTCAAATGGACATAACTACGTTACTTGATCTGGTGGGACTGTTAAAAAACCTCATTCTTTAAAAGTATATGTATAATTTTATTTTTATTATTATTTCTGTTAAAAAAGGGAGATGTTATATATGTAACTGTATCTATTATTATTATTATTTAATCATAACTGTAATGTAGAATAGTAGATTAGCAATGAAGAATAAACGATGTTTGTGTACATCTTGTAATCATCACTGAGCACTTATCTAACATATAAAAATAATTCACTGTCTTCATGTAATGTTTCATGATCCAGTAGAGGTTTATGACTGGTCTGTGTCTGTTAAGCTCACTACTTTCACATATACATAGGTGATGAGGCATTATGCATCATATGAGCTGTGATTTCATGATAGGAAATTCCTCTTTCTCACAGGTTGATCAGCTGCTCCAATAGAAATCACATGACTACCTTGTACTGGGCCTTTTGTTGTTATGTTTTGGAAATAAAAAATTGGGATGGCTGGAGAAGAGAGACTGTGTCTGATCAGCCTTGCAATTAATGAGGTTTTATTCAAGTCCATGATAAATAAATGAGTTGTTTTTTTTTGGGGGGGATGGTTCGAAAGAAACGGAACCTATGTCTGTCATTCTTTGAAAGCAGTAGAATTGTATTCAAATGCATGCCAAGCTGAGGTTGCTTTTTTGCTTAGTTTTAAATTTTGCATTGGCCCATTTCTTTTCTATTTGTTATGCACCATGTTCATAACCTAGCATAGTATAATGCACTTTGTGATTTAGAGTATCAGTTGCAAACTGTGAATAATTGTTTCATCAGCAGGTCCTATTTCCAGTTGTTTGGAGCATTTTCATGCCTAGTTAGATTTGTTTATTCTGTAAGTATGATGGCAGGAAGAAAAATAAGAATATGCAGCATTAAATAGCTGTTACTTTTCATAGGCGTCATTGAATGATTGATATGAATGAAGTAGTGCTATTAAATAATGGCAAATTGTGCAAGTCCTATCAAATTCCTGAAATGACCTTAAATTCTATTTATGAAAAAGTTGTCATAATTTAATATGAAGATTCTGAAGAAATTTTTTAAATATATATTCGTGAGCTATTTTAAAATACAAAAAATATATATATTCTCAAATTTAATATATGTTGCTAATTTTTTTAATATATATTACTTTATTTTTTAGGATCGAGAATTACAAGATATAATAGATAACAGCTGGAACATAGAGAGGGTGTATGGTCATAGATTTAATAGTACAATAGTTAATGAGGACATAAATAAATCATTCAAAGAACTACTAACAGTTGTTAAAAAAGTGGAAAATGAGCCCCAGTGGGCTCCAGCAACTTGGGTGCTAACTCCATGAGTCCTTCTATTAAACAGTATTGCAAGAACATATAAAAAATGAAAATTTACTTTTTTGAATAATATTTTACTTGTGTTATATAATATATACAAGGAGTTTAAGATCATAAAATGTAGATTTCTTTTGTAATATTTGATGTTTTAGAAGTTATGTACAGTGAAAATGTATTAAATATTTGATGTGTTACGTATGTTGTAAAATGAAAAACTTCCTACTAATAATCTTTTTTTTTTTTTTTTTTTTCACAAACTGTGGTATATTTGAGTTGATTTGTGAAGTAGAGTTGCTTTCAGTTATTATCGGTAGCATGTGTCAGTTTGATTTTTTTATGTCAAATCAATGACTGAGTATATGTAAAATTTAATTACTTGAATATTTATCGACACCAAAAGTTTTGAATTCACAGGTCGTCTTTGCTGGTCTGTTATGATAAAATGCAATTTGGAATGTCATAAAAGTTCTGTCTTATAAAACAGATAGTTAAGGTAATGTGAAAGCAATTGAAGAAACTCTGCTTTAGGAGAAACTGATTAATATTCATGTTACAAGTGGACGAAATTCCTTTTCAGCTGCCAGTAATCACATTAGGCATAAGCTGCTAGCTTTTATTGGTGTTACATGCTCATGCATCAAGTTGCGTCTTTCAAAATATTTTTTATTGCCTAATCATATTATATATGTGACTGTGTGCTTAAAACTATGAGAAAGCAACCCTTCTTTTAAAAATCTTATTTTGGACCAAAATTTGTTATGTTTGTTAAAAGAGGAAATATTGTTAAATTGTTACCCAGCATTCTACTTAAAAGTTTCATACTTTTCTTTCACATTTTGTTTACTCATTTTAATTCATTTCATTATACTGAGAATCATAGTTATGCAAAGTAGGCCCACCGATAGTGTTCCATAAGTCCTTATTTATTAGTTAATATATGCAGTTATTTCTTTTAAATGTATGTTATTAAAAATATGACTGTACATCTGCAGCATAAATTGTTTATGCATGTTAGAAGTAAACTTAATAATTATAATTAATTCAGGTAGCCTCTTATGTAATTATAATTCATTATTGATAGCATCAGAGAGGTTGTAATTCAGTATAATATGTATTATAGGCTTATATATTAATTTTATTACTCCTTCATTTAATATGCCATAAATGTTGAGTAATAGTTATAATTTTGCTCTTTTGAAATGTCATAAAAGAGTATTTTATTACAGAATTCAAGTATATCAATTCTAAAATGCATAATAGATTACATGCTGTGTGTGCTATTTTAACATGCGATTGAATAGTAAAAATATACACTTTTCAAAATATTCAGGTTCTGAATTTTTGTAAGAATTAGTTGAGAATCTAAATTTTTAGAATGTATTTTTTACCCTTACTACATTAATAGCTGGGCCATGAATTAAAAGTCTTAATTAATTTAAAAAAATGTAGATGTTAAAAATTGTAATTTTAGCAGTTTTTGTAAGTTTTTGAAGAAAAATATTCATCTTGGAATGTGTAAGGGGAATTAAATTGCTTTATTTGTTAATTATTTGGTTTTGAAGGTTGAATCTTCATAAAACTGTGTTAAAAAATCTTTTAAAATTATATAGAAGTGTTTGATGTAAATTTTTGCTAGTGTAATGTTTTCTTCTTCAAATCTCAAATGGCGTTTTGCTGTTTGCATCATGTTTTCATAGATAAAATGCTTTTACATTGTTATCACATAGGCATATATATAAACAAGAAATTTTTACTGCTAATGTTTTTGTTTTATATTTTAGTCAACTGTTTTTCTATACTGTGTATGACTGTTTTAGTTCAATCTGTATATGTAGCTTTAATTTCTCTGAAATTTTTTAATCAACACAAAGCTTTACCTATAAAAATGACTTTTATGGTTGAAATAATGGTTGTGAAATGAAACTAGGTTTGTGACTTCTAAAAATTTAATATTTACCATTCTTTGCTTCTTCATTAACAGATTTCTAAGTATTCTGAAAAATGCTGTGTTCTTTCTTACCAAAAAGAGCTGTATTTTAATTAATTTCTGAAATATGTGTGATGCATAAAAATTATGTTTGAAATAGAAATTATGCTTTACAGTCTTTTTGAGTTTCAGTTCTTTATTAAGTGAGAATGTAATGAATTCCATCTTAAATGTGTATTTTTCCATTGTATATAAATTTTCTTTGCCAAGAAATATAATAGTGTTTAATATAACTATTAGCTGGGGAACAACTTCTTCAATTTTAGTGTTGCTTTTATAATACATGACATATCTTTATTAACTTTAGTAAGCTGCCTTTTCATATTTGTATATCTTTATTAACTTTAGTAAGCTGCCTTTTCATATTTATATATAGGGTCATACCCAAACATAAGGGCATAGCATTAAGGCATTATTTTCCAAAAGAGTGCAAAATTTATTACATGTAATCTACAGGGCAGTGGCCTTACAAGATTATTCAACATAATTTCTGTTTTTGACATAATTGAAATAATTTCAAATTATTACAGCTATAAATCTAATGAAATCTGTTTGTAATAATGGCAAAACCGTTGAACTCATCTAAGGTTTACTTTCATGTCTATCTTAAACAATGTCTTTTTAAAAGCATATTCCTCTTCAAAAAGATTTATGTGTAAAATTTTATATAACTTTGCCAATTACTATTAGTTTTTCTTAAAAGTCATACTCTATTTAATGTTGCTGCAATTTGTACTAATACAAAATAACTTTTTTATATGTATTTCTCATTATGAAAAGTATTATATGTGAATTCACTGTCAAAATTATCAAAGATATTTATGAAAAGTATTACTACATATATTGTGCCAAAAATTCCTTAGGTATTAACTCAAAATTTTTAGCTTAAAACTGGCTAAATTGTTGTTGATTGTTATGGAAATTTTAAAAAATATTTTCAAGGAATAAATTTTAATCTGAATAATTTTTCATTCAATGCACAATTGTCATTTTTTGTAACAAGCAGTATTAATGGCTATACTGGGAATGACATTATTCATATTAAAAATGACTGTAAGTGTGCTAGTAAAGGGGAATACTAAACACTGAATTCCTAGTTAAATTCTCTACAGTGAAGCATTCCTGTTGCTAATTACTGATTAAAATTCTTTTAAGCAGTGCAACATTTCTTTCAGTAGTTTATTATGGATTTTCTGAATTACTTGTAAATATAACTACAATAAATTAATAGTAAATGTACTGTAATAAATGCTATTTAGTGTCTTTTATGTACATCTTCTTTCATCAATAAAATATTTATATAAGACTTGGATTTAATTCCCCTTATTTATAAATGTGTAAGTTTTAGTAAAATTGTATGCAAAATAAATTTTTCTCTGCAATCTAAAAAACTGAAACTTGAAAATAGGTATTGTAATGTATTCTTATATTGAAGGTGTTACTTGTCTAGTGTGCTGTACATTTTGTACATACTTTTCCTTTTGTAACATACATTTACTTGGAGATGAAACTTAGTAGTGAAAGTTAATCAAATTTGTGTGCAATATTTTCTTATGAATGCAATTAAGATTTTCTTGCATTTTCATCTCATAAGCAAATTATAATGATTGTGAGGCTTGTATTATTACTTGTCTTTACCTTACTCAAATTAGAAAAGAACCTGAATATGGTCTTCCATTGTATTAATCTAGGTGTGATGTTGAGGTTTTTTATGTAACATAAGAATTCTTGAATAGTGTGTTTTCAAAACCATTTAGTACTCCCTTTGTTAGAAACACAATTTGCATACTTTTTTCTTACTTCAAAAAATGAGTGTATTTAAAAAAATTTGGCTGTGAATTTTTTTTTTTTTTTTTTTTTTCATTTTTTTTAAAACATTAACATAAATGTTTAAGACATAAAGTTAAACATTAACATAAATGTTACAAAACATTAACATAAATGTTAATGTTAATTTAACATAAATGTTTACATTAACATAAATGTTTTTAAGTTTCTAAGTTGCTTGCTGTTTTGATATAGCTTAGAAAATCTATATCAGTTGTATAATTAACAAAATAATAATTAAAAACTTTAGTTCAGTATTTTATTTATTTCTGAGATTTGATTTTTAAGATTAAACTAAACATTCCTTTTAAGTAATAGACATTTGTTATATGTTTTCATGCATTTGTAATTTCATTTAAGTTGTATACATGTATCGTGTTATTTTTGATAAAAGAAATCTAAATTTTGTTTTCAGTTTGTGCATTTATAAAGCCTTCTGTTATAACCTTGTTCACTTTTAAAACTATAAAATTTGTATTGGGAAATTTCTGAAATTTTTTTATTTATTGTTCGGAGTTACTTCTCATCAAAAGGGAGGGGGAAAATACTGTTGCGTACATTGTAAAGTATGAAGTACTGCATTTTTCCCCCTTTTTGTTTAGCATTAAACTTACATTCAGCATCTTGCAGAGCTACTTATAAAATTGTTCTAACAGTTGTACTGTTTTTTATATTTTATTTGTATATTTGCTATAAAAATCTTTATTTCATATATTTATTTGTGTATTTACTTTAGTAATCTGCAGTTCATAAAATAATGTCTTAAGTAAATAAATGCAAAGTATTTTACATAACAAGATAGTGAGTATATGTGAATTGGAGCTAACACATGATCGTGGAAAATGGCAATACCATTCTAAGCAGTGGTTGGAATCAAATAATTTCATAGTTCAGTTTGTTCCCTTAATGACTAGTATACAAATAAAAATTATATATTTATGAGCAATACTATCTTAATCAGTTCAATAATACTGAAACACTTTAATCAGGAAAATGTATATCTATAATTTTAAGGGAGTGAGAGAGATTGTGCATTTTATCTATTCATTAAAAATAAAAAAAAATTGTGATAAATTATATAATAATCATGTAGTATGCGATCTATTGCCTTTTGGTCTGAGAATTAACCAACCAAAAGCAGTAAATTGCATACTACATGATTACCAGTTATATATATGATTCATATACTTTTTAAATGTACATGTAAATATTTAGAGATACTGTAAATATTCTTCATTTCATAATTAATGGAATTTAATAGGTCATGTTAATAATATGAAATTACTTTTTATTCATAAAAATATATGCTTTGTTTATTTAACCATTACAGAGATGTTGTTTTTAAATGCTTCCAGAATCTTTGGCATCTGTATTTGTTATTAATTTGTTATTGTGAATTGTTTATTTATAAATTGTATTTTAAAGCTTTATTACATTGTTTTTGATATTTTGTACTTTATGTGAGTGTTATATTCAAATTAGAAAAAAAAAAAAGGATATTTTACTTGAGATTGTAAAATATTAATGTAAAAAATATAGATAGAGAAATTAACTAAAATCCCTCCAGATGCAAATATTGGGCATTTTTAAGATTTAAAATTTTTACTATGCATTTTTTATTTTATACAGCTTTCAGAATTTTTTTTCCTTTGTTTTTTGATATTTGAGACCTTTAAGTCTAATATATATATCTTATTTTTTTGGGGGGGTCAGAAAAGTGCTCATTTTTAAATATAATTTACTTAATTTGGTTAGTGCTTTTTATTTATTAACTTTCAAATGAATTTTCAAGCATCTGCCAGCAATTCCTATGTTTAATGATGCAGTTTGCAATATGCATGGGCAGATCGTTAGTAATATAATTTTAGTGTCATAAAAAATATTCTTCATGGGAAGTTCTTTTCCAAAATTGTACAAGAATGTGTATGTTAAGTACTTTTTCTCCATATACATTAAAGCAGAATGCTGTTTCATATGTCTGTTAGCACTGATAAACTGTTGTCTTTTCAAGCATTCTGGTAATTCTTTGTAAGCGTTATTGAAGAACTAGGCCAAGGATTTGTTTGTTTTCTAAAATTAATAGTTTTATTATTAATAAGAATGAGGCAATATATATATATATATATTCTTCATCATAAAATTCTTAGTATATTAGTATGTTCTGCCATTTTTATGAAACTAATCAGATTAACATATGTTTTTATTAAACAGCTCAACATTTCCGTTTTAGACATATCATTAAATTGGTAGCTTAAAAGTTTTGTATTTTCTTAAAAAAATGCTGTTAACAACCATACAAATTTTATGTGGTTAATGGATAACTTCATTTTGAATCTTTAGTGGATTCTTAGTATTTAATGAATCTTTAGTGGAGGCTAGATAAAAGTGTTACACCATTTGGCTTTGATTTTTTTAAACGTTGAATATTTATTTTTGTCATGCATGTAAAAAATATATCCATGTTATATCCTGACCAAAAATCATGGGTAATGGTAAATTGAAAGAGATACAAGACCTTTAGACAATGGTACTCACAGTTTGCTTTAATGCACTAAGATTGACCTGTTCCAAATGTAGAATGTATTTTAAGAAACTAAATTGAAAAGTTCTGATAAAAATTGCCTGTTCACTTTTGCCAGAGAGAGGAATGAAATGTTTTCAAATCAAAAAGTAACTAATTTCAAGACTTGATAAAATTAAAACGGAAGTTCCTGTACATGCTTTTATTTGTTAATAGTGCTCTTTAATTGTTATTTTGTCATTTTTATGAGATAAATTATTCCTATATAATATATAGATTATTATAAAATTTGATTATTTCAAAATTGCTGTTCATTTTATATCAATTATTTTATTAAACTAAACAGTTTTCAATTTAACTATCAAGTAATTATTTCATGTATTAGTTTTTATAGGATTTCTTTTTAGTAATAGTTTAAATAGGAATAGTTAGGTAGAATTTTATTCATAAAAAAGTACATTTTTTCAGAATTATGTGCATAGGCACCAAAATCAGTATTAACTACTTTTGAAAGAGAAGAATGATATTTTTTAAAATTTGAATAATGAAAAAGTAATAAAAGTTTTATGAAAGCTTTTCATTGGCAGCCAAAAAAATATATATTTATTTTCTTATAGTTTTATATCAGCCGTACTAGAAATATTGAACTGCAAATTATTTAAAATTGTAGATATTGATGTTTATGGAAATGCAATCTGTTTTCTAGCAGATTTCAATTATTTTATGAATCTTTTGTGTAAATTTACATGTTTTATCATTTTATTTATTTATTGTTTTTGGGGGTGTTGTAAGTCATATAAGAAAGTTCTATGATACCATATTTACTCACACATCCCCCCAGTTGTTTTCAGCATATGATTTAGAAACTTCTGATTTATGGTAAGTGTAAAATATATGTATGCCCAATAGGAAATTTATAGATCCTTTGAAATTCATAATGTAATAGTATTAGTGCATCTTTATGAGCTTTTTAATGTGCTGTGTTTATCTTTCAAGCCAGTGTTTCTCATCACTATGGTCTTCAAATCTTGCCCTTGTGGTCCTCTTAGATTTCCATAAAAGGAAAAAAAAAAAAAAAAAATTAACAGTGTTTATAGCTAAAAATGTCGAAATTTGGACATTACCTATAGCAGTCGTCTATCTCGTTTTCTATTAAGACCATACCTTACCTATTGACTTCCAACTCATAAATTTAGCAACAAAAGGGGTATTTAAAATAGTACGATTGTGTTATTTTTTTACGAGTATGCATCTAAATGCAGAACAACTAATCAGTCAGAAAAAATCAGTAGGCTCATCCATTGCATTAATGAGACTACCAACATTTATTTAATTTTTATTTAAAAATATAATGTTTACCCAAACTCTAACAGTCTTCAGTTATTAAAAACAAATATAAATTTCTTCTATTAGCTACATCAATATAAATTTAAAAAAAGTTTAATTAGTCGTGTTTTTAAACTGTAAGTATATTGGTGTAATTCATGCTAAAAAAGTTGCTTTTGAACAGGAGAGAAGTAAAGTGGTCCACAAAACATTCTAACTCATATAAATGGAAAAAAGTTTGAAAAATGCTAATTTAAGCCATCTCTGAAGATATAGTATATATTGCCTATTATTCCACTTCCAATTTTTAAGCAATAAAATTGGCAGAAAAGGGGGAGATGTGTGTGGATTAATGTGGTATATCTTTTAAAAAAATAGATGAGCAGTTTGATTTAAATGATTAATAACGGATTTAAAACTTATATTGACATATGTGTTGATGTCACATGTAATTTTAGTTTTAGTAGTTTTCTTATATGTGTATCGTATTCTGTAAAAGACAGCTTGTTTTTGAAGTAACTTGTTGATGAATGTTTTAAAATGCTGTACAATAAAATTCTGATATAGTATATGGGAAAACTAATGGTATTTGCCGCTTAATTGGAAAAAGGGAAGGTTTATAATGTGGATGAATTAAA